TTTTAAAAATTTTTTTTAAAAAAAAAAAATTTTTTTTAGTTTTTTTTGGTTTGGTTAAAAAATTTTTTTTTTTTTTTGGCTTTTTTTTAAAAATTTAAATTTTTTTTTGGGGGGTTTTAAAAATTAAAAAAAAATTTTTTTAAGGGGGTTTTTTTTTTAAAAAAAATTTAATTAAAAAACCCTTTTTTTTAATTTTTTTTGGGAAATTGGGGGGGGAAAAAAAAAAAATTTTTTTTTTTTTGTTTTTTAAAAATTTTTTTTAAAATTTTTTTTTTTAAAAAAAGGGGTTTTGGGGAAAAATTTTTTTTTTTGGGAAAAAATTTTTGTTTTAATTTTTAATTTTTTTAACCAAAAAGGGGGGGGGGGGGAAAAAGGTCAAAAAAAAAAAGGGATTTTGGTTTTTTTTGGGCCCCTTTTTTTTTGGGCAAAAAAAAATTTTTAAAATTTTTTTTAAAACGGGGTTTTAAATTTCCCCCCCTTTTAAAAAGGGGGGGGTTTTTTTTTTAAATTTTTTTTAAAGGGCCCCTTTTTAAAAAAACCCCCAAAACCCCCCCCCAAAAAAAATTTTTGGGGGAAAAAAGGGTTTTTTTAAACCTTTTAAAAATTTTTTTTTTTTTTAAAAAATTTGGGGGGGGGAAAAATTTTTTTAAAAATTTTTTTTTAATTTTTTTTCCCAAAAAAATTTTTTAAATTTATTTAAAAAAAAAAAAAAAATTTTTTTTAAAAATTCTTTTTTTTCCCCCCAAAATTTTTTTCCCATTTTGGGAAAATTTTAAAAATTTTTTTGGGACTGGGGGAAAAAAAAAAAATTTTAAAAAATTTTGCCCCAAAATTTTTTTAAAAATTTTAAAAATTTTAAAAAAAAAATTTAAAAATTTTTTTTAAAAATTTTTAAAATTTTTTAATTTTTTTTTTTTTTTTTTTTTTTTTTAAAAAATTTTTAAAATTTGGGGGGGGAAATTTTTAAAAAAAAAAGGGGAAAAAAAAAAAAATTTTAAAAAAATTTTTTTCCCCAAATTTAAAAAATTTTTTTTTTTTTTTAAAAAAAATTTTTTTAAAACAAAATTTTTTAAAATTTTTTTTTTTGGGGGTTTTTTTTTAAAAAAAAAATTTTAAAAATTTTTTCCAATTTTTTTTTTTCTTTTTTGGGTTTTAAAAAGGGGAATTTTTTTAAATTTCCCCCCCCCGGACCCTTTTTTTTGGGGGGAAAATATTTTTTTGGAATTTATTTTAGTGGCGAATCGATTGTCTAGCTCAACATTCCCTTTGAAAATTCTTTGATTTTTATTATAGATCGAATGTTGAGCTGAATGTCGATTGTCTAGCTCGGCGTAAGAAATTATCGAATGTCTAGCTGATTGTTGATTGTCTAGCTCAACATTTACTTTAAGGATACTTTGATAATTATTACAGGTCGAATGTTGAGCTGAATGTTGATTGTCTAGCTCGACATAAGAAATTTCTGAATGTCTAGCTGATTGTCGATTGTCTAGCTCAACATTCACTTTAAGAAAACCTCGATCATTATTATTGATCGAATGTTGAGCTGAATGTCGATTGTCTAGCTCGACTTAAGAAATTATCGAATGTCTAGCTGATTGTAGATTGTCTAGCTCAACATTCACTTTAAGAAAACCTCGATCATTATTATTGATCGAATGTTGAGCTGAATGTCGATTGTCTAGCTCGACATAAGAAATTTCTGAATGTCTAGCTGATTGTCGATTGTCTAGCTCAACATTCACTTTGAAAATTCTTTGATTTTTATATTAGATCGAATGTTGAGCTGAATGTCGATTGTCTAGCTCGACATAAGAAATTATCGAATGTCTAGCTGATTGTTGATTGTCTAGCTCAACATTTACTTTAAGGATACTTTAATAATTATTGCAGGTCGAATGTTGAGCTGAATGTTGATTGTCTAGCTCGACATCAGAAATTTTCAAATGTCTAGCTGATTGTTGATTGTCTAGCTAAACATTGATTTTAAGAATACTTTGATATTTATTACAAGTCGAATGTTGAGCTGAATGTCGATTGTCTAGCTCGACATAAGAAATTATGCGAATGTCTAGCTGATTGTGTTGATTGTCTAGCTCAAAACGTCACTTTAAGAAAACCTCGATCATTATTATAGATCGAATGTTGAGCTGAATGTCGATTGTCTTGCTCGACAGAAGAAATTTCTGATATGTCTAGCTGATTGTCGATTGTCTAGCTCAACATTCACTTTGAAAATTCTTTGATTTTTTTATAGATCGAATGTGAGCTGAATGTCGATTGTCTAGCTCGACATAGAGAAATTATCGAATGTCTAGCTGATTGTTGATTGTCCAGCTCAACATTCACTTTAAGGATACTTGATAATTATTACAGGTCGAATGTTGAGCTGAATGTTGATTGTCTAGCTAGACATAAGAAATTTTCGAATGTCTAGCTGATTGTTGATTGTCTAGCTCAACATTCATTTTGAGAATTGTTTGATTATTATTATAGATCGAATGTTGAGCTGAATGTTGATTGTCTAGCTAGACATTGAATGTCGATTGTTGATTGATGATTGTCTAGCCAAGTTATTGCACATTACCGCAGACAATTTGGAACTTGTCTAAAAAATATACTATGCTCAAATTCGATATAATAAAATATTGATAATTGCTACACAGGTTTATTTGTTAATATAAAACAAACATGCTTTGACTTCACACAAAGTAGATATGTAAGTGTATACACACTGTAGGTGGTCACAATATAAATACAGAGCATCATTTTAAAAACCTTATGTCCTTAACTTTTTAGTTTAAACATATTTACTTGACCTGTTAAGCTTCCTATACACCTTTTGCTCATTATTTTTATTCACATTAGACACATTCAGTAAGAATTTCATAGATTTCAATAAATTTCTGACATTAAAATATTTTGCTCAAGGATGAGCTTAGTACATCTTTAAATTAACAATGGAACCCGTGTGAATGAAATAAAGGTCATCACTCTATTTGAGGTGCCAGAAACATCTGCAGTCTACCTGTTGAGTGTTTGACCGAGATGGAAGAAAGATAAAACCTTCTTAAGAATCTTACGACAAGTAAGAAACAAAGTCAATACAACACATTCAATTTGCAGTATCACTTTTATTTTACAATTAAGTACATGTATATGTGTTCATAAATTCTTTACATAAACAAGGCAAATACACTGTATATATGTAAAAATAAAACTTAATATAGTTATCAGAATATAGTAATATATCACTAAAAATCACTTCAACCAAACAACAAAGACGTCAATGGTTGCCAAAGTTTGCTAGCCTGGAAAATTGTGACTTGCTAAATTGCCTGAACACTGGGAAAAAAGCTTCAATTAAAACCATCATTAAATGCTATATAGATAGCTTTTCAACAGCATACTTTGGTCAGAGCTGCTATTTAGTTTAATTCTACAACTATGGCTTAATACCATCCAAATTCCCAAATCGATGTCTTTGACAGTAGTTGGTTTCTGTTTAAGTGTCAGCTATAGAAGTCAGAAAAGGGGATTGGAAATATTAATGGTCCTTTACAATGTCGTCCAATCCAGTCGTCATATACCCTACACCACCAGCTTTAAAATGACAGCAACATCTTTATATATAGTTATAAATAGATTACTTTCAAATATATCATTCCTGTGAAGTTTGGTCAAAAACTACCCTGTTGTTTACAAGGTGTTGTTGATAGAAAATTGTGAACAATAATGAATTACTTAAACACTGCAAACAGAAAATCGCTCAAGTGTGCTAAAGTTAAAATTCTTTGGAGTAAAAAAAACTGTGACTTGTATATTATAATCCTACAAATCAATTTAAACTTGTAAACAAGTTTTCTACACATAAGTGTAAACTTGTAAACCAGTTTCTTACAAATCAATGTAAATTAAAAACCAATTTCCTACAAATTAATGTAAACTTGTAAACCAGTTTCCTACAAATCAATTTAAACTTGTAAACCAGTTTCCTACAAATCAATGTAAATTTGTAAACCAGTTCCTACAAATCAATGTAACTTTGTATAACAGATTCCTACAAATCAATGTAAACTTGTAAACCAGTATCCTACAAATCAATATAAACTTGTAAACCAGTTTCCAACAAATCAATGTAAATGTGTATACCAGTTTCCTATTAATGTTTACTTATTTACCAGTTTCCTATGTTACTATACCAGTTTCGTACACAGTTGTGTAAACTTGTAAACTACTGTCCTAAAAATTTATGAATACTTACTTAAAAGAAATCCATTAAAAATGATTGTCATGCTAGCAAATTTTATCTGCTTACATTAATCTATAGTTTTGTATGAAATCTAATGGAATGCATACTCTAATTCTATTCTATCACCATGTGAGCAATATCTTTTTGTTTGCTACCATTCATGAAAACTATGTGCATACGAAGTAAAAAGTTCAAGAAAATGAAAATTTTTCACAGATATCTAAATCATTAGTGATATCTGAAGTCATTTGTGATACCTTTAGTCATTTGTGCTATCTTTAGTCATGTGTTTTGTGCTATCTTTAGTCATGTGTTTTGTGATATCTTGAGTCATATGTGATATCTTTAGTCATGTGTGATATCTCTAGTCATTTGTGATACCTTTAGTCATTTGTGATATCTTTAGTCATTTGTGATATCCTTAGTCATGTGTTTTTTATTATATATTTTAGTCATGTGTGATATCTCTAGTCATTTGTGATATCTTTAATCATTTGTGACATCTTAAGTAATTTATGATATATTTTGTCATGTATGTTATCTTTGTATTTGTGATATCTAAAGTTATTTGTGATATCTTTTGTCATTTGAGATATCTTTGTTATATGTCATGTCTTTTAGTCATTTTTTTATCAAAATTTCATTACAACAATTAATCACAATGATAGAAGAAACTAGAAATGTGTCCATAGGACACGGGTGCCCCCACCGCGCCACTGTTCTGTCAATCTTTTTACTAAGTCAAGGGAAATAACTCTACAAATACTGGATAAATCCACAAGCGAAACCCAAGGTGCAAATCTAAATATGCTGAGCAAGCTGCCCATAAGGTTTAATGACTATGTAAAATCCTTTTTTGAGTAACTTGCGACACAAGTTGAAAATTGCAAAAAATTTCTAAGTGAAGGGCAATAACTCTAAAAATACTAAATAAATCACGAAGAAAATACCTGGTGCACAACTGCACATGCTGATCAATATTCCTGTAAAGTTACATGACTCTAGGTCAAATACTTTTTGAGTTACGTGCGACACATGTTGAAAATTGCAAAATTTTACTAAGTCAAGGGCAATAACTCCAAAAATACTAAAAATATCCACACGAAAATACCCAGGTGCACAACTACACATGCTGATCAACATTCCTTTTAAGTTTCATGACTCTAGGTCAAATACTTTTTTAGTTGCGTGCGACACAAGTTGAAAATTGCAAAATTTTACTAAGTCAAGGGCAATAACTCTGAAAATACTAAAAATATCCAGACAAAAATACCCAGGTGCACAACTACACATGCTGATCAACATTCCTGTAAAGTTTCATGACTCTAGGTCAAATACTTTTTGAGTTACATGCGACACAAGTTGAAAATTGCAAAAAGTCAAGGGCATTAACTCTGAAAATACTAAAAATATCCAGACGAAAATACCAAGGTGCACAACTACACATGCTGATCAACATTCCTGTAAAGTTTCATGACTCTAGGTCAAATACTTTTTGAGTTACATGCGACACAAGTTGAAAATTGCAAAATTTTACTAAGTCAAGGGCAATAACTCTTAAAAAATACTAAAAATATCCAGACGAAAATACCCAGGTGCACAACTACACATGCTGATCAACATTCCTGTAAAGTTTCATGACTCTAGGTCAAATACTTTTTCAGTTACGTGCGACACAAAAGTGAACGGACGGACGGACGGAAGGACGGACGGAAGGACGGACGGAAGGACGGACGTTCTCACAGGACAGTAATTATGTGGCTACTCTATTGTTCTCTCTATTGTTCTTTTTAGCAACGCAAAAGAAAATAGCCACATATAAGCATTACGGAATGAATGACATCAAAGAGAACCTATTGTCCCTCTAGCCACATAATTACTCTCCTGTGAGTGCGGACGGACAGACGGACGGACGGACGGACAAGGGTAAATCTAAATGCCCGCCACTAACGTGGGGGCACAAAAATATGTTTAAGTGACAAAAAACTACTGAAAGCTTGAAGCATAATAAAATTTTAAACCTGCCACCTTATGCACCAATAGTCTCATATATCATATATCAGTTTTTTTTTTATATTATATATCAGTGGTATAAAATGTACTTATAACAGTCAATTATTTAACTACAATCTAAAGATGATATAATTCTTCAAAATGAACACTTCATTATTCTACACAACTATCCTATATGAATGAAACACGCATAGAAAAATGTACAGTAAGTGAAATCTAAAATAATCTAGCTGCATTGTTTGTCTACTGTAAAGTCAGCCATTTTTGCAAGGTCTAAAATTTTGTGTATTCATGATTTTGAAATTAAAAATATTCATAAACTTCTTCTTTCATTATTGTTAAATTTATATGATACACAACAAACTTAATTATATTTTTGCAAACATCATAATTCGGAAAATTAGTAAAATTTAATACCTTGCAAAGATTTCTGATTTTACATAAATATTTGGTGAATCAAGCATTAATGAACAATGATGATAATAACTTTGTAAATGTAAAGCACTTAAATGTCCAAAACAATATATAAACAATATATCAAACATTATGTCCATATTACAATATTTTAACAATACAGTGTATATGATAAACATATTATAAAAGCAGTCAGTGTATGGAAATGTTTTAACGTAAGGCATGTCCGGTAACAGAAAAAAATAAAGCATGCTGGATATGTATAAAAATCCTCGTTTATCAATCACCAATACAAAGTATATTACGGACATATTCATTAAAGGCAAAAGGGCTGATATGAAGTAAAGTACAAACTACAAAGCACCCACTAAAAAAGAAAAAAATATTTACAAAAATATGTAAACGTGTACAGTGATGTCACACAGAATATTGACCAATAAATAAGAATTGGGGAGATTTTAGAGGTAGAAAAGATTTACTGTAACATGATTTTTTTTCTCTCTCTTTTTTATTGATTTAATTCCCCGAGCTAAGTTTAAATTATGTGTCAATGTTTCACACTTTTCCGCTGAAAAATCTCCATAAATCAATTGAAACTGACAGCCCATAAAGAAACATTAAATAGGTTGTTAGCCTATTTTATAGATTTTTGTTCAATGCTAACAAAATGTATAAACCCAAAACCTGTTAGGTGACAGATTCTAACCTGAAACCATGTGACCAGTACTGACCAAGTCAAGCCTGCACTGTTTGCTACTCAGTCGGCACAAATTTTGAAAATTTCCCTAAAAATGAGGAATGGTTTTGCCAAGATTGAATGATGGACAAGTCCATTTAAGACATTTAGTGGGGTAAGGGTTATTTTAGAGGTTACTAATTTAACTATTTACAAGAGCTAGCTAGAAAGTTGCACCATTATATGCATCAGTATAAACATTGCATAAACAAGTATTTTCATATAATAATGTTTCAGTTCTCAAACAAATTTTTTTTTAATAAAATAGCATAATGCTTTACTGCATACATGTAATTACTTGGTTCCCTATCAAACATGTAAGCTGAAATAGTGGTGGTTTTTGTAGTTTACCCTCCAGGTCAAGGCAGTTAACCACTAAATTTTCCATAGCAGAAGTTCAGCCACAGCATTGTTCAGCATTGGGCAGGTTGTCAAGCATTTAACCAGTACCAGTTGCCGCCACTTTAGCAAGGAACTGATATTACTTCTTTACATGCCAGAGCAGAGGTACAGTGCGAATGACCGTAGATCAAGTTTTTTATCAAGAATGAGTTCAGTATTTTGATAGGTTAAAAACAATTGAATTCTATTAATAAACAATTGAATTCTATTAATAACCAAAGTTCTATTATTGCTTACACAATAATGCCCCAATGTCTAACTATGGCAATAAAAGCATATATTTTTCTCCAGAACAGAAAAGATAAAAATAACCTGAATTAAAGTACATTCAGGCATATTTACATAAAACAAAGATTATGCATGGGAGGTCATTTCAGATCTATTTGGGTATTTGACAGTACAAATCTATCACCATCAAAAAATGAACTTAGATGAACTTTTATAAAGGTAAAAATCCTTAAATCAAATATCATGTAATCATTAAATTTGAAAAAATTTGAACAGGTCATCAAGTATTGACAAGATTTTACATAGCTACGTCACTTTACAATACTCAACAGTCTATATTTAATAACGTATCACATGTCTAATTCCCCTACAGCAATACGTACTAGGTCAAATAAATTAATTATCGTAATTTACTAACTTTAAACCATCGTTATCAAATATAGGTGATATCACAGTATTTGAACCATTAAGAATCATGCACTACGTACATATGCAAAATCCTTATTTAATTTGAACCAATATTTAATGCTTTACAAACTGTTACTAACTGTGAAAAGAAATATGACATTAAAATAAAGTTTATATTTGAATTGAAGTTTAAATTTAATGTTATCTAATCAAGTAAAGGACACATTAATTTTAGTATGTGCAAGAAGATTCAGAATTCACATCACAAAATGTGCACCTATGAAAACCCACAGGCTCATATATAGATTTTAAGATATGAATGGATCTACACTGATGAACAACCTCTGTTAACTGTTTCAATATCCCCCTCCCTATTTATTTAAACAGCAGGTGATGATTTATTCAATTTTTAAAAAAAAAAATTAACACATTATAAAATCTTATTTCATGATCGAGAAAGATTTAAAGTATTTAATTTACTCAGAGTTTTTGTTTTTGTCACATAAGTGCACTACTGGGCTAACTTCTTATATAATTTAATAAGAGTTCACACATTACAGCACTTAGGCGACGTTTCACACTATAATGATAGTTACAATGTATATTAATCAAAATCAGCAAAAAAAGACACATTTGGAGACCTCAAATTGCAGTCTCTGACAATTGAATGTTTAAAGTTTATAAAGCTATATATTTGCTGCCTGTAGTTTACAAAATTAATGTTTGAATTTTGAAGAAAAAATAAAAAAATTCAAAATACCTGTATTACTTCCCTTTCAAGGTAAGGCCCATGCACAATATTTTCGTTAAATGGTTAAAACCCAACATTAAACAGCGTCTTAATATTTTAAGGAACTCTTCATTCTGTTTTATGTATAATATTCATGTGTGTTAGATAACAGGCAAATTTCATGTAACAATGCTTTTTAACCATTATGAAAAAAACATACTCTATAAATTCTATAAAGATAATTCATTAGCTAAAGCTCCATACCCTTATAGCACTTATAATATTTAACTCGCAATATTTGATAAATTTACATAAAGATTTCAAAGGTAGATTTAAATCCATAACAAAAATACCATCAACACGATAATTGCAAAAAATCCTAGATAAGTAATCCAAATAAAGATATTTTCTTTTACAAAAAGCACAATGAATGTTTTCATATTCCTAATAACTTTCTTCTGCATTCAGCTTGAGTAATTAATATCAAGTAACTCTGTTGGTAGAGGAAAAAAATTACAAATCTTGGAACCAGCCATTTGTTTCCCAGCAATAAAAATATTGTTAAATATGGTACATATAAACAGGCCTATGCTGTTGGCCACAGTAGTGCCAGTGTCTGGCCATCTTTCTTAAATACCGGTCCCCCATTAGCTGCTGTAGCCTTGATTGCCAGTTGACGAGACTTGTTGCCTAGGCTACACTTTGGCTGTTTGCTGACTGTGACCTTTAAGGGTTTGCGAATCCTGAAATAATGACAAGAAGATTTATATTTATTGGTGGAAAATAATCCCATACAGCAAGTCATTGTGAATCAATAAATAACTTTACAAAGTTGATACTAAATGCCTACTAAATACTTTCAGCCGTGGGGGTCATTTGAAGACAAAAACAGTATTTTGAAGAAAAAGGTAGTATTTTGAGTAAAAAAGTATATATAAGTCAAAGATAGTATTTTGAAGTCAAAGATAGTATTTTGAAGTCAACGATTGAAAGTAAATTGAAACCAAAGAAATATTTTGAAGGTAAAGAGCTAATACAACAAAAGAAGTACATTTATAATGTAGCCATGACAAGAGAAGTAAATTTCTACTGATGAATGCTGGGAGTCTCCGAGTAAATCTAGAGAACAACTGGTACCATTTTTATGACAGCCTTAGCAAGTCTGTCAGGTAATATGTATATATTATTCACCTACATAATAACTAAATATAAGCCGCGCCATGACAAAACCAACATAGTGGGTTTGCGACCAGCATGAATCCAGACCAGCCTGCGCATCCTCGCAGTCTAATCAGGATCCATGATGTTCGCTTACCAACTCTGTTACAAGCTGGTCGCAAACGCACTATGTTGGTTTTGTCGTGACGCGGCTCATATTTGCCTACCTTTGGCAATGTTTTGCTAATATTCCAACGACCTCCCCAACTCTCTCTTCTCTACTTGTTGTATGTAAACATGTAACAAGATCATTCCCATCGGTCAGTTGAAATACAACCAACTGGTCAGTGTCTGGACTAATGATTATTCCAGAAACCTGAAAAAAAAAAAGAGTCAAAAATGTTCAAGTTTTTCTGAATAAAGGGTCATTATGGCCGGCCTGAGAGCACTCACCCTCACATTCACTGCTGAAAGAAGTAATTCAATAGTTTTTCAATGCAGATGTAGGTCATTGGGTTACACTGGAGCTGGATCATTTTTGGCAACATGGGTGTGAATCTTAAAGCCATAGTAGTAGCCAGGTTTACAAAGCAATTCTACATGCCAAATACCTCGGCTTGTGGTCATGTAGCTTTACACAAACCAAGATTTTAATGTGTTTTATCACATACCTGTGCCGTCATTTGCAACTGCATAAGTATTGCATGACAGCGCAAATATTTTGATGTGACATTATTTGCATTATATAAACATTGTGTAGAGATACACTTTGAGCATTACATTAAAAACATGTCAACGATTTCCTTTTTGGAATATGTGGTAAATAGAATATTATATTTCTATAGCTTCATTACTAAATTTATTGAACTTTTTTGAGCCAGATTGCCATAATATAATGTTCTTCTAGCTTGTTCAATAAATTCAGTACTGAACTTACACTCATTCAATAACCTCTATTTCTTATGTAAATCTATGTTAACTAAGTGAATCCGAGAGTGAGGTCCAATATCTAAGCTTGGTATGTAGTTGCTTCTCAGGAGATATTATTTCAAGTTACATAACTAAATAAGTCAATTTATTTTTGACACTTGGGTCATAATTTATACAATTTATCTTGAGGTCCACTAGGCAATGCTTAACATCAAATATCATGCTCAAGCATAAATAAGCATTTTGTGCTTCAGTGATGCAGACTTATACACTATGGATTACAAACAAAACACTTTTACAAAAGCTCACTGATGTTATCATTAACAAGAGCTGTCGGTAGGACAGCACGCTCGACTATTCTAAGTGCTTGATAGTAAAAGAGCCTTGATAATTTTAAATTTTTTAAGTTCACAAAAGGGCTATTTTTTTTTTATAAATTCATGTTATAGGCCTTAGAGAGAGTCTAATTATACAGTATTGGCTTGACTATTCGGAAGGTAATGTCACAAGGGTGTTTTATTGAGTATAATAATACTAATTACCTATCAATACATAAATTTGACAAAAAAGGTACAAGGGCTTGTTATTAAGATGTTTTATCAAGTAAATCACTGCTTTATTATTATGAATGCATAAAATTGTCCCAAAAAAGGCACAAACCCTTCAGTAGTTATTGAGATAACAGCCTACAAGCAAAACTTTACCATGAATTTCTAAGTTGAAAAAGGGGAGAAAAATCAGCCTAAATGCAAGATAGAATTATGGAACTTTGTCAGTGACCTACAATTATGACCCTAGATGCATATGTGAAGTTTTAAATAAATATCTTTAATAGTTATTGAGATATGTAAAACTTGCATGTAAACATTAACCAAGAAACTAAGTAGAAAAGGGGAGAAAAATCAGCCTAAATGCAAGATAGAATTATGGAACTTTGTCAGTGACCTACAATTATGACCCTAAATGCATATGTGAAGTTTTAAATAAATATCTTTAATAGTTATTGAGATATGTAAAACTTGCATGTAAACATTAACCAAGAAACTAAGTAGAAAAGGGGATATGAATCAGCCTTAATGCAAGATAGAGTTATGGAACTTGGTCAGTGACATACAATTATGACCCTCCAATTATGACCCTAAGTGCATGTGTAAAGTTTCAAGTAAATATCTTTGAAGACCTTTAACCTTTAACCAAAATTTCTAAGTTTCAAAGGGGCAAATAATTCTGCAAATATTGCAGGCATGGTTATGCAATTTTGCAAACTGATGTACATTGTTACTATAACAAAGTATTTTAAATTTCAATTGAATATCTCAAGCAATAATTGAGATATTTAACTTTACAAAAAAACTTTAACCCAAATTTCCAAGTTCCAAAGGGGCATAATTCTGCAAATATTGTAGGCAGAGTTATCCAACTTGTCAATCTGATGAACCTTGTTACTATAAATAAGTATTGTAAGTTTCAATTGAATATCTCAAGCAATAATTGAGATATTTAACTTTACAAAAAACTTTAACCAAAATTTCTTAGTTAAAAAGGGGCATAATTATGTCAATATTGTAGGCAGAGTTATCCAACTTGTCAATCTGATGAACTTTGTTACTATAAATAAGTATTGTAAGTTTCAATTGAATATCTCAAGCAATAATTGAGATATTTGACTTTACAAAAAACTTTAACCCAAATTTCTAAGTTAAAAAGGGGCATAATTCTGTCAATATTGTAGGCAGAGTTATCAAACTTGTCAATCTGATGTACTTTGTTACTATAATTAAGTATTGTAAGTTTCAATTGAATATCTCAAGCAATAATTGAGATATTTGACTTTACAAAAAACTTTAACCAACGCAGACGCCGACGCGGACGCCGACGCCGGGGCGACTACAATAGCTCTCATATTCTTCGAATAGTCGAGCTAAAAACTTCTGATGTGAATAAATGTAAGCATTCAAAATTTATAATATTTTATCATGTAATGGCAACTTACCTCCTCAAATGGTATAATAGCTCTCATTGGCTTATATTTCTTCTTGGGGTCAAGTTTATAGATTCCTTTGTCTGTAAGGACAACAGCTCTGTCGGCACATTGATTGTGCTTATTTACCTGAAATATAATGAAACACACTAATTATTCACACGCATATCTCAAAAGTTAATATAGCCATATTTTTTTTAAACATATATTTCCCTTTAAGGAGTTCCACTAGGGACTTAAAGCATAAAAACATGTTATTTTAAATTCTTACAAAGATAAAATAGAGAACTTAAAACAGATTTTTTTTTAAGAAAATATACTAAGAATTAGACTGAAAATTTATTTCTTGTGCAATTCTTAGCCTGATTTGAGTAGAAAAAGTTCAAATGCTTTTCATTTGTTGGTTGTTGTACAAAATTTAAATTATTATTCTTGAGTAAGTGAATGATCTAAACCAATTGGTCCCAATCTACATCAAAAAATACAAATACAAAATATATGACAGATCAAAGACTTCATAGGGAGTCCAATTCACAAATAAATTTTAAACATTGAAGTTGACTTCCCTCACAGAAACATGAACTACATAGCCCATCAAAGATAAATAGTTAAAGCTTAAACTAAACCCTTAAGACACAATCTATTTATATCAAGTTATTTTGAACTAACCTTTTTACAGTAAGAAGAGAATAGGACCCTGGAGAATCCATCATGTGCCTTCAATGCCGTCATCTTGGATACAAAGTCAACAGTTGAAGGATTGTCTTTAGTCTGGTATAAAACATAAAACATTTTATAATTAAATCATTAGAAAGTTAGTTTGTTTGTTTGATTGGGTGTCACAGTATAGGTCATATGGCAACGTTCCAGCTTTACTGATAGAGGAAGACCTCAGGTGTCCTTCCATGCATTAATTCAGGCACGAAGGAGCACCTGAGTAAAACCACCAACATTCCGAAAGCAAGCTGGATAACTTCCTCAAAATTATTGGAAAGATAGAATGCATAAGTTTCTCTTTCTTTCACAAAATCTATACAGTAGACATCCACTATTAAGACCACTACAGTACACTACCATTAATAAGACCACTACAGTGGATCTCCACTAATAACACCACTAGAATAAACCTTAACTTATAATACAACTACAGCAGAACTCCGCTAATAACACCAGTTAAGCAGACCTCAACTAATAAGACCACTACAACAAATCTCTGCTTAAAAGACCACTACAATAGACCTCCACTATTAAAACCACTACAGTAGACCTCCACTTATAAGACCACTTAAGGTTAACCATTACCAATAAGAACAATACAGTAGAAATCTGCTTGTAAAACCACTTATGATTCTTTCAAAAAGCAGTTTTAATTTCATGAATAATGACAAAAATTTCAGATAGGTCCCCTTATTTCAGTATTGATGTAATTTCTTTTTTTTTCCATTAAAAAGAAAATTTAAAAAGATATTTCATTAAAAATTTATATTTGAGCTATAAAATTGTATTTTCATAAAATTCACACTTAAAGCCTTGGCTTATATAATGTTAGATTCTTAAATTTAATTATAAATGCTGATTTTAACTCATTTTTGGCCATATCTCAATGGCAAATCCACCTTATTAGCTTTCCTGGATAACTAACCAGTGATAACTAATTTCTCTGAAAGTGACGGACTACTATAATCCCATATGATTTCTGAATCTGCGGTGAGAGATAACTGACCTAAAGTCACTGTCACACAATTCCTGAAATAAATTGTCCAGTCATTTCATTACAACATTTTAGACCATTTTTTTTTCAAAGATAATTAAAAGGTTGCAATACCATGGCAAGATAATTTCCCTCCCATTTACGTCTCATGCCCCATTCAGCCCTCTGCCCTTGGAGGGCATCATGTGCTTGACATTTAAGCTGCAGCTCTGGCCACCGTTCTCTTGGAATGTTTCTCAATATCATGTTAGCTCGCCACCTGAAATCACAAAAAGCTCGACTTGAAGCATATAAAAATCTGGAAAAAAAATGGCTGGCTTTTTTTTTCTGTTGGTTTTTTTTTTTTCGCACCAAAATAGTATAGATCATATGGTAACTTTCCAAGGACTGGTGCTCTTCAGTGAATTATATCTGTCACAAACAGGCACTTAGTGTAACCAGTAACGTATTAAGCTAGATGGATAAATTCTTGCAGTTTTGTATTTTTTAAGAAAGGCCAATGTTTACTAGACCAGTAATAGGGAATGCAGTTTTTCAAACATAGTTTGTGCATTCTCTTATCAAGATTAAACATATTCAGTAGAATATTTCCTAGATTTCAATCAATAAATTTCTGCGAATTAAAATATTTTAACCGAAGATGAGCACAGTATATCTTTTAACATTCGCTGTCAATATAGAGATGACTTATATCTGTAATACCTGTTATGGGACTTTTTCAATTCAGCTACCCATTCTGTGAGCACTTTCGGAGGTTCTGGCCATCTAAGACTCTTGCCATAATCTCTCATTTTCCTCACATTTCTGAAATAAATTATCAAAATTACAGCTATAACTTCATACTGAATATTCCATCAAAAATTCAGCTTTGAAACTTAATGTGATTACATTTCCAATATTAATTACTGAATTCTTTTTTTTGTTTGGTCTTACGTCACACCAAAACAGCAGAGGTCATGATGACTTTACAGCTGTATTGGCAAAGAAAGACCTCAGGTGCTCCTCCCTGCATTATTTTGACACAAGCAGGCACCTGAGGAGAACCACCAATATGCACAAGACATAATCAAAAGTCCCTGGCAGGATTAAAACCTGCTGCACTGTGAGGCGAGTTATCTAACAGTTTGCTGATAAAGCAGCAAGTATGTACATTTGTATTTTCAATTTTCCCCTTTTCAAGGTAGGAATCAAACTAAAGTACTTTTCCAAGATCCAATTGAACCATGTTTAAGAAACACCAGTGCTGTTTAAGGTGACTTTCTGGCTTAACTGATGAAGACTTCAGGTGCATCTCTATGCGTTATTTCTAGCATGAGGTGGAATCCGAATAGAACCATAGACCTTTCATAAGGTAATGGGATAAAGATGAAGACGTCACAGTCATAAACAGGATTCAAACCAACAAGGGGTCAGAAGTCAGCAGCCTTAGCTACACTGCCATCAATAACATGTTAAAATCATTTATTACTGTAAATTGTACATCTCTGGTTGGAAAATAAATGTATCATAAAATCAAATCTTACTTGAAGAGGTCAATGATCTGAGAGATATATCTTCGCAGTTTGTAGCGACGAAATCGTGACATAATGTAATAAATTGCACGCATCTTCTTTGCTTTCCTTCGTGCATTACCACCTCGCCACATCTTCAAAATAAAAACAAAACTTTTATAATAAACATAGAACTTGAAATTACTCAACATGACCAGGATGACCCCCGATGGACAACCCAAAATCCTAATTTAACCAACCTCCAAAGAAGTGGGGTCATGAAATACATAAGCATCTTTCAAACTTGAAAGGTTTTGTTTTTTTTGTACTAAATCATGTATCTATCCATAGCATGATTTTACAATTTCAGTGCATTCTAACAGTTACAGGGGCCAAACAAAGTTCACAAACAGGATGGGATGGGTATATTTGTAAATAATAAATAACAGCACAAGGTCTTAAATCTTGTCGACAAAGACTATAATTATAATAACCAATTATGAAAAAAAGCGGTCATGTCTAAGCAGTGACTTTGAAGATTGGTTTACAAAGATCAAATAATCAATCAATATTTACATGTATCTGAAATGAAAAAGTTTTCATTAATCAAAAAACGAAAATATCAATATTCAATACAGAATGAGTCTTTTACGTTAAATCATAGCAGTAATGAGTCTGGTCATAGTTTTTCTGTTTCACTTTATCTAAGGTGTATATTCTATGGGCATACATAGAAAACAAAGGTTATAACTTAATGCTACCTACATTAGAAAGAAATGAATACAAACTATGTTAAAGTTAAAATGTGCAGGTAGGAACTCGCTAATGCTTCTTATATGATTGTATTCTAATATGTGACAAAAGTGCTTCTAAGAAATACATTTATAATATTTTCACTGCTGCAAACTACATGAAGGTCAAGGCCAGGTTTTCTCAAACATACCTTCCCGCAAAGATGAAGCTCACCAGTCCCATCTATAGAAGTGTAAAAATACACTTGTGAAATATATTTATGTTAAATAATGGTAGAATTTATTCACATTCTGTAGAGGATTTGGTAGATAAATGCATATGCCTAATTCAGTTTAGTGCTTTTTTTTGTGCTTAAGCTTTAGCCAACATTATTGATATGCCATTATACTTAATGTCTTCTGGGCCTTAATTTTTATATACTTGAAAAGAATGACTGTGCTAAACTCAGAGGAGAATATGAAAGTAAAATGTAGATATGTGCAGTAAACAAGGTCCTTTAATTACACACTGTGAAACAGAATCATCATTTTTTATTTGTTTGTTTTCCTGTTGTTTACACTGATTTAAGTACACTTTTAGGTTGTATGTTACATAATCCCACATGACTATTTGTGAATGCTGATGCTAATGCTGAGGCCCACAATGTCATGGAAGAGCGGGGAACCGAATGTGCTAGCCTCATTAAATAAAGTCGTTACTAACTAACTAATCAGCTGTGAGTAACAAAGGCCCATTAGACTTCATGTACAAGATCAGTTGTCAAAGAGAAATTACAAGGATCAAACCAGCAACTCACTGGATTGGATTACCAACCTGCTCTCCCTATTGAGCTAAGCTAACGGTCTTCAAAAATTGTTGAAATACGAAGTATGATTTGTATGTACTGTCTAACCACGGCAAGTTTTCATGTTGTCTAGTAGTCGAACTACTGTGACCACACTTAGCTCTCAAACTTTGTGAACAATAATTTTGACAAAAAAATTACCTTCAGTAAGAAGAGCACAATATTACTAAATTTGACTAAAATTACCTTCTGTAAGAAGAGCACAATTACTAAATTTGACTAAAATTACCTTCTGTAAGAAGAGCACAATGTGTGGAATGTATTTGTCTCTTTCCTCCTCCAATGCAAACAATGTTTGTGGCGACCGTATGAAGATTTTTGACTTCCCATACTTCACATCGCCTGCAAAACCCATATTTCTGATAATCACTTCGGTCCCGTCATAATGGCTGCCATGATACACTGGCCATGTCTCTTTAGTGATCATTTTGTACCTAAAATAAACATTCAAATTTAAATAGAAATATAACAAGATGTGTTACTAAATATGAAGAATGTCGCTTAAATGAAGGCTTAACAATAGAATGTGGTGTCCGATTCTGCATAGTGAACATCTGCAACAATATATCTTATATCCATAAAGGAATGACAAAGTCATGCAAATAACACATAGGCGATTATCAATGTATTTGGATACAAAGCGCATATCAAAATAAACTAAAAATGTGTCCGTTGGACATTAATGCCTCAGCTTCATTTGCTGTCACAGTGGCATATCTACATATTTACCAATATTTTCAAGAAGTTAACATTAATTTCGATTTATTCTGATAGGACAAAGATGAGGTCACGTATGTGCATAACTTATAATGATGTCATCACACAAATTTAGTGGTCTTAGAGTAATCATATATCCTGTCCATACAAAAACCTAGTGACTTTACTTAGAAATACAATCAAACTTTAATTCAGATATTCCTCAATATGAAATACAATCAAATTTTAATCCAGATATTCCACTATATGAAATACAATCAAATTTAATGCAGATATTCCTCTATATGAAATACAATCAAATTTTAATCCAGATATTCCACTATATGAAATACAATCAAATTTAATGCAGATATTCCACTATATGAAATACAATCAAATTTAATGCAGATATTCCTCTATATGAAATACAATCAAATTTTAATCCAGATATTCCACTATATGAAATACAATCAAATTTTAATCCAGATATTCCACTATATGAAATACAATCAAATTTAATGCAGATATTCCTCTATATGAAATACAATCAAATTTTAATCCAGATATTCCTCTATATGAAATACAATCAAATTTTAATCCAGATATTCCACTATATGAAATACAATCAAATTTTAATCCAGATATTCCACTATATGAAATACAATCAAACTTTAATCCAGATATTCCTCTATATGAAATACAATCAAATTTTAATCCAGATATTCCTCTATATGAAATACAATCAAATTTTAATCCAGATATTCCACTATATGAAATACAATCAAATTTTAATCCAGATATTCCTCTATATGAAATACAATCAAATTTAATGCAGATATTCCTCTATATGAAATACAATCAAATTTTAATCCAGATATTCCTCTATATGAAATACAATCAAATTTTAATCCAGATATTCCACTATATGAAATACAATCAAATTTTAATCCAGATATTCCTCTATATGAAATACAATCAAATTTTAATCCAGATATTCCACTATATGAAATACAATCAAATATTAATGCAGATATTCCTCTATATGAAATACAATCAAATTTAATGCAGATATTCCACTATATGAAATACAATCAAATTTAATGCAGATATTCCTCTATATGTCAATATAAAGGATAGTATATTTCCATTATTTACCTTGTCAAAAATCTCTCGTAATGTGACCTGAATGCAAAGCCTGCTCTGCGAACACGAACATTTTCTAGAAGACCAAGATACATGACCTGGTGGCGACATCTAGTGTCATCAAATTTACTCGGAGACTTGATCTCATTCGGCTTAATACACCTGACATAGTGTGGCTCCTGTAAAGAAAAAGAACAAATTCAGCATTTTTGCCCCCCTTCTTTACACAGGTCGGGTAAACAGACCCATTCAAAATCATCACCAGACCCGTCCCAATTCGTACCTGGACCTGCCCCAATTACATCAAAGCTGTCTTTCACCAATTGTTCTATATAAATACCTTCTAAAATAGTAAAAGTTATAAAAAAAAAAATAAAATTTTACTATCGGTTTACGAAATTTCAAAGTTCAATATAATTGTGGGTTTGCGCAAAAATAGTTATGAAAACAAATGGGTACAAAAACAACAATTATTTAAATATATTCCTCTCCTTCCCAGTCTCATTAAGCACAAAGCTTAAATTATGTTCATCCAGCAACTTATTACTAATTCATTAGGAAATAAAGTTTTGGCACGGTATGACATTGAAGTAATATGTTGATGTAGCCGTTAAACCAAAACAAACATAAATTCTGAAAATAGTGATTAAACTTTTCTTGTTGCATATCAGACATGATTTTCAAGTTTACACTGGTGGTAGAAATAACCAGTCCACAAGCCCCCGCGCCCCTATCCCATCCTGTATGACAAGTTGCGTGCTTTAAATGATATCATTCCTGCTTTGCATATTTAGGAAGATGTCATTTTGCCATTATGAATAATCTGTAAATTCATACACTACTTAAAGTGGTTATATTAGTCAGAAGTTGAGCAAAATTTTCAGTGCATCTTATACAATGTATTATATAAAATCTAAACAGATAATTTAAACAATAAAATCTAAACAGATAACTTAAACAATATTGAAATCAGAAGAAAAATAAATAAAATAAGTGTTGACAAATTGTACCTTTTAAAACCTTTATAACCTTTTTTACTTTTATTTAAGCTGGAAAAATAAGAGTTTCAAAGAGTATGAAAGGGAGATAATTGGAGAAAAAAATATATTTCATAGAAATTTATTCCAGTAGAATTTGTGATAGACAACTTGCCAAATAGGTAAAATAAATGAAATTAGGGGGAGCTAACTGTAGGATTTAAATTTTGTAGTTGTGTGCCTAGAAAGAGAAGAGTCAAGGTCTTTGTACTTACATGTGAAAATCATGAAGTCTTTTGTAAGCATGTCATATCCAACTTAGCAAAAATAAGTTAATCATAAAAATTCAAGCGCATAAGGGGTGATAGTGTTGCTTAATTATTACTGATTTTTATTTTTATGGTTTGGTTTCAAGTGGCACAGATACTGTTAACATCATATGGTTGATTTTTCAGCATTACTGGAGGAGGAAGACGTCAGGTGCCCCTCTGTGCATTATTTCAGGTATGAACAGTCTCCTGAGTATATTATATAACTATCATCTTTCTACAATATAATCTAGCTGGATAGCTTTCTCACATGAAAGAATCAAAAGTCCTTGGCAGGAGTGAAACCAAAAATCGCTAAGGGGCAAGATGCTAGATTATAATTTCTTCTGCACCTCACAGCATAACGGACTCGGCAATCATGTGTATTTTTATATTCTATATGTACAACATAATACAGTGCTTTCACATCATTAAGTTACACATGAGATGTCTATAAACCAAAATTTAATGATGCTAGGAAAATTTCTTCTCTGCTGAAAAAAAATTCAACATATTTCTATCAATTTCCTTTTTAATCAGCATGTTAGCATGGATGTTAGCATGGAAAAAAAGTATGTGCATTATGGTAAAACAATGCATTAAAATTGATATTGATTTCTTAAACAAGAGACATGCAAGAATTTTCTGAGAAAGAGCATTCATACAAAACCTTTATAAATTAGTAAAAAAAAAAAATTTTTCTTCATTCATGCAAGAAAAACAAAGTAAACAATTTTCATACTGGAAATAGTGGTTTAATTCAGACTTGCATGACAAGTAAAGTTTGAAGTAAGATAGCTTTCCCATTCTTCAACAATACATATAGAGTTGAAATACAATTTAAGTCAACAAGAGGACCATAATGGTCTGATATCTCTCACATTATTGGACAATGTTCTTAATTTAAAAAAAAGATGTTAATGGGTCACATTAAAAGTAATCAAAGCGATACCTTATTTTGCACACAAAATTGTACCAGTAATCTATATTTAATGAAATAATTGAAGCTAGAGAAATAAAAGGTCACTGGATCATCATTACACAAATGACCATTGGACTCAATGTCCAAGATAATTTTTCTTAGAAAAACATTACGCCTCGACCCAGGAACAAACCAGCGACCAATAAATCACTAATCTGATGCTATACTTATTGAGATCAGCAGGCAGATTTACCAGAAAGTAGGGAAGCTTAATCATATCTACTCTGGGTATAGCAATTTCTGTGAAAAAGAATTTTAATTGTAAAGCTACATGCCTCTATATGAGTCAAAATATTTCAATAAAATCAAACTTGAGGAAAATGAACTAAGATGAAAGGAAAAATAAACAAGAGGGCCATGATGGCCCTGAGGTCGCTCACCTGTATATAGGCCCCCCCCCACCCCGGGCCAATTTTTACCCAAGGGCTTTTATTTGTTTATTTGAACAGACTTATTTGTTTATTTGAACAGACTTGGTAGACACCCATAAGAAGATGTTTCATGCTAAACATCTAAGTTCTAGCTCATTGGGTTTTTTAAAAGAAGATTTTTAAAGTTTTTACTATACATATATAGTTAAAAACAATGACACCCCTGGGGCAGGGCCAGTTTTGACCCCCGGGCTTTTATTTGAACAAACTTTGTAGATATTTACTTAAAGATGTTTCATGCTTAATATCTAAACTCTAGCTATTTGGGTTTTTTCAAAAAAGATTTTTAAGTTTTTGCTATACACATATAAGGAAAATCAATGACCCCCCCCCCCCGCGGGCGGGGCCAGTTTTGACCCCAGGGCTTTTATTTGAACATACTTGGTAGACACCCATTAGAACATGTTTCATGCTAAATAAATATCTTTGCTCTAGCTCTTTGAGTTCTTTAAAAGAACTTTTTTAAGTTTTTACAATATGCATATAGGGAAAATCAATGACCCCCTGGGGCGGGGCCAATTTTGACCCCAGGGCTTTTATTTGAACAAACTTGGTAGACACTCATTAGAAAATGTTTCATGCTAAATATCTTAGCTCTAGCTCTTTGGGTTCTTTAAAAGAAGATTTTTTAAGTTTTTACTATATGCATATAGGGAAAATCTATGACCCCCTGGGGCGGGGTCAATTTTGACCCCAGGGCTTTTATTTGAACAAACTTGGTAGACATTCACTAGAAAATGTTTCATGCCAAATATCTAAGCTCTAGCTCTTATGGTTCTTTAAAAGAAGATTTTTAAGTTTTTACTATATGCATATAGGGAAAATCAATGACGCCCCGGGGTGGGGCCAATTTTGACCACAGGGCTTTAATTTGAACAAACTTGGTAGGCACTCACTAGAAGATGTTTCATGCTTAATATCTTAGCTCTAGCTCTTTGGGTTCTTTAAAAGAAGATTTTTGAAGTTTTTACTATATGCATATAGGGAAAATCAATGACCCCCTGGGGCGGGGCCAATTTTGACCCCAGGGCTTTTATTTGAACAAACTTGGTACACATTCACTAGAAGATGTTTCATGCTTAATATCTAAGCTCTAGCTCTTACAGTTCTTTAAAAGAAGATTTTTTAAGTTTTTACTATATGCATATATGGAAATCAATGACCCCCCGGGGCGGGGCCAATTTTGACCCAAGGGCTTTTATTTGAACAAACTTGGTAGACACTCACTAGAAGATGTTTCATGCCAAATATCTTAGCTCTAGCTCTTTGGGTTCTTTAAAAGTAGATTTTTTAAGTTTTTACTATATGCATATAGGGAAAATCAATGACCCCCTGGGGCGGGGCCAATTTTGACCCCAGGGCTTTTATTTGAACAAACTTGGTAGACACTCACTAGAAGATGTTTCATGCCAAATATCTAAGCTCTAGCTCTTAGGGTTGTTTAAAAGAAGATATTTAAAGATTTTTCTTTCGGTTGCCATGGCAACCAGAGTTCTGCATGGAATTAAATTCTTTGAACAATTTTTAAAGGTGACCACCAAAGGAACATTCCTGTGAAGTTTGGATGAAATTGGCTCAGTGGTTTATGAGGAGATGTCATTTAAAGCAAAAGTTTACGGACGGACGGACAACGGACGGACGGACGACGGACGGACGCCGGACGAAAAGCGATCACAAAAGCTCACCCTGTCACTTTGTGACAGGTGAGCTAAAAAAGTTTCAAGATTCAAATAATATTTTACATATTATGTGCAATTAATGGCTGATTTTTCAGTATTTACAACTATATTTCTACTACGTTGCTAACGCAGTAAAGGCTATTCATGCACATTGTGACCACTTTCTGGTAATTTATATGGTTTGTAAGTGCCATTGATAATGTGTTAATTGCTTCCTTTTGGTTACTTCACAATATCACACATTCAAATACATTTTCAAAATTTTCATGAAAATTAGCATGAATCTGAAGGCGTGCTGCTTAATGCCTATTTATCTCATGTGGTCTATTTAAGTACCATACTAGAACCATTTATGTAACTTTTGTGAGTGGCTAACTTAGGATCATTTTCTTTGAAGTTGGATCAAAATCTACCTAAAGCTGTAAAAGGAGATGTTGTTTAGAGAAATTTCGTATCATGATCCACAACAGAAATCAAGCAACGATGAAAGTTATATCAAAGTCCATTGTGCTCAGGTGAGCTAAAATGAGATCCATTAAAGATATATTATTTAGAGAGGCAATAGGAATCTACCTGTCCACCATCCTAATTAACAAAAGCATATAAAAACATATAATAAGAAATTGGTCATTATGACTATTATGATTATATTGTAAATTTTATATTGATTAACATCAAGGATAGCACAAAAAATCTTTTTAATAATGTTACTTACATAATAATGGATCACTGATCAAAATAAATGTTACCTCTTTTATCAAAATTAGAACATATTTACAGAAAACTACTGCATTGGTTGATTTGTCGACAAAGGTCACATTTTCCATAGGTATTCGAATTTCAAAGGTAAAAACACTAGAAATGTATCATTTGGATATCCTTATAAAATATTGAAAAAGTTTGTTAGCACCCCGGCCCTGGATAAGCTTGGAAAACCCAAAATATTATTCTTCAGCAAAAAGTTTATTCTGCGTCCCATAAGACCCAGCAATTTAATATCAAAACAACTGTATATTTCAAGCATGGTTAGTTATTTAGCTTACCTTTGTAGCAAGTCTGTCTACAAGTGATATAATGGAGTTCTTGAAGTTACAACCAGCTGTAATTGGTCTTTTCGTGGTCTGTCAAACAAAAATGAAATGTTTGCTTGAAAACATGCAGTGCATTTTCTAAACTTATACATTATTACATGTGTAAGCATCATAAATCATGGAATAATTTGCCTTCTTATTTACCCTTTTTTATGCTTTTTTTTTTGGGGGGGGGGGGGGGGAGAGGTTGGGTTACTATATTAACTAGTTGTTATATTATCTTCAAAAAATTAAAGCCATTAATTCTAAGATTTTATATATATAATGGGATATGGAATGATATTATTGAATAACCTCTACAATGAAACCCTCTGTACAGCAATTACCTTTTTATAACAACCAGTATCATTTCTTTGTGTACATTCATTTAGGGGTTTTACTTAGGAAGACATTCAATATGGATTTTATTAAAGCACTATCAAATCAATGATTTATTGAGTTTTATGCGCACTACGGAATTATTTACTCATTTCTTTATACATTTTATAATTACAGTTACACATCAACTAAGGAAAAGCAAATTCATTTAGTATTTCAAATTAAATACTAACAAGAGTACAGCATTGATATTAAACTCATAAATGACTTTATACAGCAAAAACTGTCAATTTTTAGAAAAAAATATATCTTTAAACCTGTCAAACTTAATTGAACAGTACTAAACTTAAATATTGCCTCAAAGTTACAACTATTACCGCCAAATCATTATTATTTGTGGGGCACTAATTTTCATGATTTCTGATCTAAGATCCAATGAAATTTTTTGCTGTTGATATTTTTCTTACTTTTGTCAGCTGTACCATAATTTTTATTATATATTTATTATTTGCATTTAATTTTTTTCTTCCCACAAACAGACAATCCACAAATTTAAGAACCCACGAATTTTATGTATTATTTGACAAAACCACGAAATTGCAAGCCCACAAAATGAAGTGAATTTACAGTAATTGAGTTAAATATAAGATATCATTAAAAATATGATATGTAAGAATAGAAGAGAAGTAATACCTCAGTGATTGACAACTTTCCCTCGGGCCACATCATTTTGATGAGCTCATCTTCACTGTAATACAACATTTAAAGTGTGGTCAGGAGATATTAAATACTTTTAACAAAATAAATCTATAAATATGACCAAAAAAAATAATTATATTTAGAATTGTGTCCATACAACACAGATGCCCCCAAATATATGACAGTTTACTTTATAGTACACCCATAATGTTGCACATGACACACACCCTGGCACTGGTAAAGACATCCATCAAATATTCTGACAATCCATGGTCCATACAGATTTTAACACATTTCTGGTCATATCTCCATGGCAAATCCACTTAATTGACTTTCTTGGATAACTAACCGGTAATCAATTATCACTCAATTATCACAGATAAATTTTGCCTTGCCTGGTAGATTGAGCCAGTGATTCCTGGATTACTTATCTAAGACTCTCCCTATTAATCAGGCAAAATCCTGAAGAAATTAAGGAAAACAACTAATAACAGACAACTTCATATCACAAAATCTCACCTCTGAAGACTTTGAGTTCAGGTGAGCTAAAAGCTACAAAACAAATAGTTACCTGTTGTAAAGAAGACGTTTAAAATCTTGATACAATGTATCCTTGTTTTTATCAATAAAGCCGACAACAGAGTACGTCACATCCCCAGCATAATGTTTGATCCTGAACTCTATCTTGTGCTCTAATGTCTTGTCTGATGGGTTTAACTGTAAAATGACAAGTGAAATTGTTGGATTAGAATCCCTCTGGTTTTTACATCAATTTAACACACTTCTGAGCATACATATCTCAGTGGTCAGTTCTTTCGAACCAGAATTATGAATAAGTTTTCCTGGATAACTAACCAGTTATTACAAATTTCTCCCCAGTGACTTCAGTATGAACACATCTGCGAATGTTTCTAAATTCAGCCTGCAACATCTTCAATTTTGTCATTTTGGACTTTCTGTACGGGTTCTTATTTTCCTATTTCAGCTTTGCTGATGGAGAAACACCTCACCTGAGTAGAAAACTCTCTGTGAAGGACATGTAGCTGACAATGTAGAAACTTATTTATTGTTACAAGTCATGTATATTTTAGCATCTGAAGTAAACAGTAGATTATATCTACTATACTTACTGCTCTACATGTAAATCTCTCATTTTTACTCAACTTCTGGCTCATAGCTGTCAAGAACATCTGAAATATATACATCAAGTATACATATACATCATACATTGATTTCAAAATATCATAGTAACTTTCAATCATAACCATGTTCATACATCGATTTTGGGGGATGGGATCAGTCAATCGTAACCAAGTTCAAACATCCTTTTCAAGGATATCATTGTAACTTGCAATCTTAACCAAGTTCCTGCATTGATTTTTGGATATCATTACAATTTTCAATTTTACTTTTTTCAAAAAGATCTGAAAAAAATTTACCCCACAAGACTTTTTCTAAGTAAGAAAACACAACTGTTAAAGTGAAATACAAAGTTTTGAAACTTGCTGACCCTTCTTGTGACCCTTCATATATTGTATGAGAACTTTTATTGGCAGAGTACAATTAATATTGACTAATTTACAAGAAATTCAAACCCACAAATTTGCAACCTAAGAGAAAATATGTAAACAAATTTTGCAATATAATCTACATTAAACAGGAGCATAGATATATAGCATTTCCATTGATGATCTATTGATAGTAAAATATTAGGGATGGCAACGAGTAACCGGTTAACCGAGTACTCGATCGAACGTCCGAATATCGGTTAACAAAATTGATAATCGATTACTCGGAAAAAAATATTTAATTTCTACTTTTTTGCGATTTAGAAAGATTAGTTCAGAAATTCGGAAATGTACACGTATCTATATAAATACTTGTTAAATGCAATCAAAACATCCTTGCAGAGGTGTGAAAATGATATCGTAAATTTAACGAGACGATCAGCAGTTTGACACGCGTATGGGATTGAACACAGTCCTGTGTCGTTTACGTCATTCGGCTTCTTATGATATTTAATCGCCTTTAAATATTAGTCAGTTTGTAGCCGAAACTTGTCAATTATAAAACGTAAATATATACGGAATATTATGTTGTGCTACGAGCACGGTGGAAAAATTGATATCTCACGAGACCGGAGGTCGAGCGAAATATCAATTTTCCAACATTGCGAGTAGAAAAATGCATAGGCTCAGAAAGCTTCTACAACATAATTTTCTTTTTATTATATACCTTTTCGTTTGAATTATAAATGATTTTCATTATACTACACTATAAGAATTTTATGACCGACGGATGAATACGTAATTTTTGCAAAACCGGCCACGCCTTTTATAATTTTGGTTTCCGTTTTAAATGCTACGTTTATACAAAGCTAAGATCGGAACCAATGTCAAAAATAGTCCGGCACTTCCATATATGGTACCGTATTTGTCAATTTCTATCCGTTAATTGAAGCGTATTTGCGTTCATCCTGTATTTTAGGGAGAAAATTTATAGGTATATAAGAAATGCTGTCATTGACATTTCTTATGTTTATATTTATATATTTCTTGCAGTCCTATTTATAGTTACGAATTCTATGAATTAAAATAGAAAACGAAAGTAGCATACAGACGGTGTTGATATTGATTGTGTGATAAAACTTTAAAGATCATTAAAAAATTCATTCGAGTAACCGAGTACTCGATCGGAAAAATGACAGAGTACTTGAGTATTGATTTTGGTATTCGTTGCCATCCCTATAAAATATATTATATATTCTACACAGGATTTAGATTCAAACAAGAGTTCAACAACTCTAACAATTTTCATTTTTATATTGGTGCATACGTAAATTTGTGCACTTTTCATTGTGCAAAATTTGTGAAAATTTTTCCTACCCAAACATAATTCATTTCACAGTTTGTGTGAAGGACATACATTCCTATGAATGGACCTGTACTGTGAGTACTTCTTTTGTTTGAATATACCCAAACAAGCCATACAAGTATATACTTACTGAATGAGTAGAATTTCAGTAACCTATTGCCCTCCTGTTTGATCGGAAAGCAAGATGGCCACAAGGAGAGGAGTCTTGGAAAAAAAATTTTATTCATACATACCGGTATTTTCTGAATAATTTACACACTCAAATATATAATAATAAAATGTTTTTACCTCATCTGTGACTTTGCCAACACTGAGACAAGCTTCATCTAAGATGGACAGAACTCCTTTATGTGGCTGTTCAACAAGATCACAAATGACTTTGTTGTTGAAATAATCTACATGCTGCCATTCTATACCTTCTCTCATATACTCCTCTTGTTCTTGCTGCAATATAAAAATAATCAAAACTAGAGCTATAACTGTAATGTCTACCATATTATAGTTACTCGGCAGCATGGGTAGATAGATTTAACAACGCAGTTGTTTGGTTTCTAAATCTATTTACTAATGGTACTACGGAGAGGTGATGCCAAGTGAATTTAGGCGGGGTTTATCAGCCAGTGTATAATAGTAGCTGACCAATAGTGAGTCAATATATTACAATAACAAATGGTGATTCATACCCCCCCCCCCACTTCCAACTATTTGAAAACAGGGTCTTTCAAATAGAATGGTCTGGAGACAGACCAATTTTACAGAAAATGCTGTCTCGGTTGAGTCACGTGATTGGGTTATCTACCCACTGTGATATGGCATTCAAAAATCAAATTATAAGATAATGTTTTGTTAAATTAATCAAAAAAATACTAAAAACTAACTCTGACTACATTATATTATCAGTTTTTACTTGAAAAAAGTAACAATTTATAGATTTGCAATGAAATTAGAAATTTTTCGTTCCCGGTGTGAAGGTAAAAATCTACTGCTCATATTTGAAAATAGGTCCGAGTTTCATGAGCTTTTTAACATTCATGCATTGTTCAATGACAAAATAGAAATTGATTTTACACAGAAATGTTGTTATTAAATCGTATCATGTAAAAATATTATAATATTTCACTATATTATTTGCAAATATTTGATGTTTAATTTGGTGCATTTTCAAAATAGCGCCGATTATCGGCAAATATTCTGAACAAACAATCTATGTTTATTAAGAAAGATGGCTTTAAAAAACATCATTTCCTGAAATATTTAGCCTTTTTTCAAAAGTTAATTTTTTTTTAAATAACATCATGTCGTTAAAAATTTCAGTTTTGCTCTTGTATTTAATATTCGCCCTTTTCTTGAACACTTACATAATTTGCTTATAGCAAACTATACCGATTTATACCGAGACATGTTTAATAGTAGCGAGAAGGGTTTACATAGCGTGTTTCCAGACCATTCTATTTGAAAGACCCTGTTGAAAAATAAATGGTCGGAAGTCAAATTAGAACTTGACCTAGTATATTTTATGATGTTTCATATGTGTACCAATAATAATTTCAATCTATTGCCTTGCTAAAAAAGTATAATTATCTGTTAACTATTATTTTTGTAAAGACAACTTCGTAACAAAAGTATTATTCTCCTGATGCCAAATTTAAATAATAAGGTACCTAATTATGCCAAACTATCTATAAGAGTTATCAAACTTAAAACACACAGTTAACCTGTGATATTGTAATATTTTAAGTTCAAGTTAATACCTCTAGGGTCCTGAGATGGAACGTTACAAAGTGATTCCTGTATAGCATCCCTACCATGTGTTTGGTGGGGGAGTGGGGGGAACTAAAGTTTTCTCACAGGAACAAGGTATAATCCTGTTATGGAGTTGAAACATGCTAAATCAAGAGATTAACAAAAAACCCAAATCACCAAGTTATAACAGGATTAGGTAATTGTTGATTCATTTATATTTTTTTCAGAAAGATAAATTTGAAGCAATTAGATTAGATCTGAAAGTTGCACATGGATATATCAGATACGTTTGGTTGATCTGGTGACATACCTTCAATACAAGCTCTATAAATAACTGCTGAAGTTTCTCATTGCAATAGTTGATACAGAACTGTTCAAAACTGAAACAGAACAAACAAAAATATCGTAATTATTACTTGAATAGCAGGTTTATGACATTGTTTTGTTAAAAAATGAAAACACAAGAAACAAAATATTGTAATTATTACTTACATATCAAACATTGCAGTTTTGTTTTTGTTTTTGGTTGGGTTTTTATACCACATCGGCACATTATAGGTCATATGGTGACTTTCTGGCTTTACTGGTGGAGGAAGCACTCAGATGCCCCTATGTGCATTTATCTCAGGCACAAGTGAGCATCTGAGTAGGAAAACCAATGTTCCACAAGCTAGCTTGCAGATTATTTTAAATTTTAATTCTTATCACAATCTCTTGGATATATTATGAAAATTGCTGTAACTTTCTCTAATACCAGCTTTAAATGTAAATTGCAGCAATATTTGTGCATCCATTCAAAGCAACAAGACATTACAATCAAGTAAGTAATATAGCCTGTAGGAAAGTAATTTCATTTTAAAGATCCTGTATGTTGTTATTAAGGTTGTAACCATGCTTAAGTGAACTTTTATATATATATATAATAATGCTTCTAAAACAATTTTCAAACATCTAAGAATATGTGAAATATGTACTGCAAATGTCCACATTATATGCAATCATAAAATATATGCATTCATTTCTTATTGAAAAATTTGATTTAATCTTTATAGAAAATAAATTTCTAATTTCCTCCCTTTATTAACATGAAATGTAAATTCGGCAATATGTTTACAAATAATGCTTTTTGGAACTTACAATATTGATAAATCTTCATTTGAGCATTATATTTATGATATAAACCATAAAAAAAATTTAGTTACAGGATCTTTAATTAATATTCCTCCCATAGATGCCTCTGTTGATGGACACTTTTTTTATTGGGTTTAACATCACAACAATACAGAATAGGTCATATGGTAACTCTCCAGCTTAAAGCGTTGGAGAAAGATCTCTGGTGCCCCTATCTACATTATTGTAGGCACAAACTGACACCTAAGAAGAACCACCGATGTTCCGTTAGCTAGCTGGATAGCTTTCTTACATGGAGAATCCGAAGATGCTGGCACGGCTCCAACCTACAGTGGTGAGCGACAAGTGGTTTGCCGTCAACAACCATAACCACTTGGCCATGGACCTCTCTTTTAAAACAGTAAAAATATTGCAGAGCAACACCCTATGGGAGGAAAAGACTTTAGTTGTTGCACTTTAGACGTAAAATTTATTATAAAGTCTTACTTAGGAAGTACAAGTTATAACACAATTGTTGTAAAAATTACTGCTCTACAGACTGCTGCTTTTACTTACCTATTATTGTCAAATATTTCAAAACCATAGATATCTAAGACACCTATCACGGTATTCTTGCCTACAAACTCTACACCAGTTAGATGGGGATCTATAGCTTCATTGATTCTTGTTACGATCCATGTAAACATTCGGTCATAAATTGCCTGAAAAATTTGGTGATATATCAATATATGAAAAAAGATTCATATTGTCTAAACATATAAGTTATAGTAACAGTAAAGCAAGGCAGAATAATTGTTTTGGTACACTACAGTTCCTTGTAACTGGTGCCTATCACTATGTGACGTTTTAGTAAAATTCCTACACTCAAGTTAATTGTTGGACACAAGCATGATAGAAGAACAGAAAAAGGGGAGGGGTTAACTATTATGCTCCCGCACCCTCTTTCCAGGGTACATTGTAAAACATCTGCTTCCAACAATATTTCAATAATACACCTAGTTTTGAGTTTTACTAACACTTTTTCAGTAATAAGTCAACATTTAAGCTTTACCGGAGGAAGACCTCAGATGCACTTCAAAGCAATTTTATCAAACTTTATCAAATGTTTCATTTCAGGCACAAGCAAGCACCTAGGTAAAACCACCGACTCCTGTTAGGTAGCTGGATAGCTGGCTACTGTCAAGCACTATTTTCATACCACTCGATAAAACTAAATTCCTAAATTTTTTAGAAAAAAACTTGAATATCCTCTAGATATTTTAGTACTTCATAGATCATAGTTACAATGTGAATATTACCTTAGCAAAAGCATCCCTGGCATAGTATGCCTCCGATACAGTCAGACCTTTATCTACCACATTTCCACCAGCCGCTATAACTCTATGTGTCAACGCTTTCTCAATATTCTCTGTTGTCACTGACAACAGACCACTGATATCTGACAATAATTTCTTGTCAGAAACCTCTGACAAATCATGTACATCATCCTGAGCATGGTACTCCAGATTTCCCTGAAAAATCAACATTACTTCAAATTTCCCTGTCCGAATCAAATTTCCCTGAAAAATCAATAGCACTTCAAATTTCCTTGCAAAATCAATGGTACTTCAAACTTCCCTGAAAAATCAATGGTACTTCAAATTTCCGTAAAAAATCACAATAATAAAGAGAGTCCGCTTATGTTTTTAGCAAAGCAGGATTGGAAAATATTTTTGCGAGATTTTCATACCATTTGATGAAGGTCTACATCAACAATCACTAATCATTATTATGACTATATTGCTTTATTATACCTTTTCATACTTTTCTGTTTTAATTGCCCCTGACGATTAATCTGTGACAGACTTTTTAATTTTATGTATTCCGCATTTTGGAATTCAATGGAGATCCTTTAATAAGTGGTTCCTCTGACTTATTTAGTACTTATACACTGCATATATCCACAATTTCAAATCTAATATGATGCCCCACACTCTTTTAACTTTAAAAAGAAGAGCTTACATGACATCTGGTCATGGTTTTCACTGTGTATTACGCAGTCAGTAAATATTTTGAAATTCCCCCTAAAAATGATAAATGGTCTTGTCCAGGTTGAAAGATGGATGAGTCCATTTAAGATATTTAGCATGGGAAGGATCTTTAAAATGATATAACTGAAACTCACCAGGAGAATTACTGCAGCTACTACCTTCCATAAAGTCTCTGCATGTTTAAACGCAAACCCTAGTGTCTTCATAGCATTCATAACATTTCTGTAATCTGATTGGTCGTTCAATGTAGGGCACTGAAATATTTAATTCAAATTACATGTATGTTAACAATTTATAATTATTTATTCTATATTTCTGAAATTTAGCTGACGCTGCACATTTGTCTAAACAAATCCAAGAATTAAGGGCCTGAAATAACAGGGCCACCATGGCCCACTTAGTACACATCTGCCCCAAAGGTCATGATTTGAACAGACTTTGAAAAAGGTTCACTTATACTTCTAGGCAAACGCACCAGATAAACTTAAGACCATATGTGTCGTGACAAGAAAAAGATTTTTCAAGTATTTTCCTTGCATAACAGGTGCTCACTACTTTCATTTTACATGTTTTTGAGAGTGTAAGATAGAATTACTTGCAATATTTTCAAAATTCACTTGTATTTTTGGAGTATGCAAGCAGAAATTCAGAGCGGTCTACAGATAGCCAAGTGAACCTGGGGCAGGGCTAACTTTGAACACAGGGCAAAAATTTGAACTTAGAAACCACTATGTTAAGTTACATACAAAACATCAAACAGCTAACAAACAAACACACAAGACATGAAAATACATTTGTACCTTTGGTTCTCCTCCTTGATTGATATAGAAATATTTATGAGGATCTCTTTTCAACTTCATCTCGGCAAGTTTCTGATCTGTAGCTCCATTAATAAGCTGGTAGAACGAGTGAAAATTTCTCTCTCCTTTTTGTTGATGTACAACACGTGACTGTAAAATATCAAACAGTGATATATCAGAAACTGGATAATATTCAAGAGTAAAAATATGGACTCAACATATGTGTTAAGTTTGATGGATTTTCAAGTCATATAGGCACTGCAAGGGTCATATGGCAACTTTCCAGCTTGCTTAACCGGTGAAGGTAGGCATCATGTGCCTCTTTGTGCATTATAAACATGATGCAAAAACTCTTATACAATGTATTTAGACTCAAAGGTATCTATTACTTCATTTACAGATTTGCAAAATGTTTTGCTTAACTTATGTTTTTGTTGTTGTTGAAAAGCTTGAAAAAAACCTATGTTTCTGTTAATTATTTTTTTAATCACACCTTAAGCCCACACCCATGCCATCCGATCATGGTCTGCACTATTAGCCATCAAGTCAGAACAAATTTTGAAATTATCCCTAAAAATGACTAATGGCTTTGTACTGATCATAAAATGGACAAGTCCAATGGTCAGGAGGGGTTAACAATCAACAATTCTTAAGTAACAACAGACTTTCTATGACATTCAGAAAATAATATGATTAATCACCCGCAGCTGTTACGATATAAACTATTTTGTGCAAAATAGCAAAAGAAATCCAATTAAAGTGACATGTTATATTGACAGGCCAGTACAACATGTACAACATGTATAATTATATATGAGCCGTGTCATGACAAAACCAACAAAATGGGTTTGCGACCAGCATGGATCCAGACCAGCCTGCGCATCCGCGCAGTCTGATCAGGATCCATGCTGTTCGCGATCAGTTTCTCTACTTGTTATACAGTCTGTAAGCGAACAGCATGGATCCTGATCAGACTGCGCGGATGCGCAGGCTGGTCTGGATCCATGCTGGTCGCAAACCCATTATGTTGGTTTGGTCATGACACGGCTCATATATACAATTGACATTTGGTATGACTAAATAGCTTGTAATGATGATTGATGGAGTTCACAATAGTCACAAATAAAAACAGGATATACTGTATTCATTCAATACCTAATTGTTTTACAAGTGAGCAAATGAATGAGATATCATACATGTACATTTGTTCATTTAAAGGAGCTCCTAATGCAAAAAAAAAAAAAAACCATAAAAATTTCAAAGTCTTACACAGATGTGTTAGTGCACTTAAAACGGAAAAAATATGCATAAGATAATTAGTACATAAAATTATACATGTAGTGTAAATGAAAGAATACAATCATTTCAATGGTGACTAACATAATTATATATTATAACTTTAAATGAAAATTTTCCCTTTTCCCAGAAAGTGTTTTTAAATTTAGGGCCCCACCAAGGGTTTCCCCTTTTAAATAAAAGTTTGATGTCCATGTTTTTTCCAAATCTATGGGTTTACATTTTTGTTTTTTTTTGCTTTTTCCCAAAGCTTCAGGATAATATTGGACTTGATCAATACGTCTTTTACTCTAAAATAGATAAAATACTTATTTATATCTTAATGAATACTAAATTAACACAAGTCATACACTATAACTCTCTCCATTTTAGACTGCTTACCTCAACCACCCATGCGACCAGTCCAGACCCAAGTATCAACAGGCATGTGCGCCATCTGGTCATGGTCTGCACTGTTTCCTATTCCGCCTGTCTTGTCTTTTAATTTTCCATAATTATAATGGATAGTTTTGTTTTTACAAGTCAATTTATAATATTTGGCAGGGTAAAGGTTATGGCCCCTTTTTATATGTAACAAGAGCTGTCGGTAGGACAGCAACGCTCGACTATTCTTAGTGCTTGATAGCAAAAAAAATGCTTGATAGAGTTACCTCCTCCTGTTTACAGGTTGGGGTCATGATGGTGAACAAGTGTGCAAAGTTTCAAAGCCATATGTCAATGGACTTTGAAAATATTTGAACTATTACAAAAACTTTAACGTAAATTCTAAGTCGAAAAAGGGGCATAATTCTGTCAAAATGCTTGATAGAGTTACCTCCTCCTGTTTTCAGGTTGGGGTCATGATGGTGAACAAGTGTGCAAAGTTTCAAAGCCATATGTAAATGGACTTTGAAAATATTTGAACTATTACAAAAACTTTAACGTAAATTCTAAGTCGAAAAAGGGGCATAATTCTGTCAAAATGCTTGGTAGAGTTACCTCCACCTGTTTCCAGGTTGGGGTCATGATGGTGAACAAATGTGCAAAGTTTCAAAGCCATATGTCAATGGACTTTGAAAATATTTGAACCATTACAAAAACTTTAACGTAAATTCTAAGTCGAAAAAGGGGCATAATTCTGTCAAAATGCTTGATAGAGAAACCTCCTCCTGTTTACAGGTTGGGGTCATGATGTTGAACAAGTGTGCAAAGTTTCAAAGCCATATGTCAATGGACTTTGAAAAAATTTGAACTATTACAAAAACTTTAACTTAAATTCTAAGTCGAAAAAGGGGCATAATTCTGTCAAAATGCTTGATAGAGTTACCTCCTCCTGTCTACAGGTTGGGGTCATGATGGTGAACAAGTGTGCAAAGTTTCAAAGCCATATGTCTATGGACTTTGAAAATATTTGAACTATTACAAAAACTTTAACATAAGTGGTTACGCCGACGCGGACGCCGACGCTCGGGTGACTGCAATAGCTCTACTTATTCTTATCGAATAGTCGAGCTAAAAAGCATTGATAATTAATCAGATTACACATCTTTGTTGCACCAAAAACAGCTAAGTTTAGGAATACAACGGCAAACATTTGAGAAATTTTATGTTAAGGTAGGACCAGCTGATATGGTACATTAATACACAAATTTCCTATCTGGCTAGCTTCTACAATATTTTCAAACCCCAGGTTGATAACGACTTAATTGTGAGGGCAGCAATGTGGGTTTACATCAACAAACACGCCTTTAAACTTATCCATATATTGAATGTTTGTTCATCACTATTAATATTTTATAGATCTTGCCATTAAAAATTGTCTGTTATCAATTCTAACATTCTTAACTGTCAGAGGCTATAAATTAAACAAACAAAATTAAATTGTTCGGGGGAATGTCTCAAAACACTTTTTCCTACAACTCAATAATACATATTGACAAGCTGAAAAATCTTAACAAGACTTCCTGTATATAAGTAAGTAATTTACTGCACTAATGTTTGGAGTGCATTTTATGTACCGAGTGTTCAAAGTGTAAAATAAATAACCCTCCTTTCAGCATTGGATATCAGGTAGACATAGCTCTAAAGCTTTGAAGAGGAGAAAATATTTGAGATACTGATTGCATAATCAGATTACAACTTATTTGTCCTTGATAAAAAAAAACTTCAATAAAAAAAATCCTCAATTTAATGTTTGAAAAATTGAATGACGAACTGTCAGTAACGATTTACCAAATATCTCAATGTCATATCATAGCATTCAATGACGGAGGTCGATTTATTACGGGATTTTCTAAGCTTTATGCGTTTTGAGAAACGAGCCCGATACACAAAATAATTTTCTGTTCTGCTTACTGGATATAATAACAATGATAAAATCTTAACAAAAAGATCGGAGGACCGTATATAAAATTTTCTGCTTTATATATACTATAAATACACCTACAACTTGTGTGATATTGTACATGTAATAAAGATGCTATCTCAAGGTGTAAAGAATGTGCCCACTTGTATATTTACGAGATACTTACACTGTACAGTCATTATACGGTTCATTTATCATCGAATTTCTCAAAAGCATACAAGTTTAATGAATGACAATTTTGATATTTTTAAACATTTTTTAACACAAAATTAAGTTAAAATTACACATTGACTGCAGTGTCCACTCAAAGCACTGTCACAGTAATTATGTACATGTACCTCAAGTAGTAAAATTTGTCAGCTGTCAGTGATTTTCCGTTAAAATTTCAAATGGTCAAACATTCTTTACTTGACAGGATATACATGTATTCCCTTATAGGTCAACTGAAATTGCATTGTTCAAAATGAAACAATTGCACTATTAACAAAGATATATATATGAACATCATGTAGTACATGTATATTAACATATAAAATGTTGAAAAAGTTCCAACTGACCTTTGCTAGTTAAACCTGCAGTTCTAGGCTAGCCTTGACATTATAAAATTTATAATACATAATAATTGCAAAACTGTTTTGGTAACATTCATCTATTACAAAACTGAGCTGAATTTCTGGGTTACATGTACCCAATGGCTGGACATTTTTGAAGAACTTATTTATATATAAATCTATATCAATTCAATTTTGCCATTGTCCGTCTAAATAGGAGTATCCGTGGCTGTGTGGTTAAAGTCTTTTGACTTCAAACCACTTGCCCCACAAGGTTGTGTGTCTGACTCCCGCAATTGACTTTGAATTCTATGATGCAAGGAAGCTATCCAGCTTAGGCTTACAGAACGTCAGTGATTCTACTCAGGTGCCCACTAATTGTGCCTGTAATAATGCATGGTAGGGCACCATTAATACTTCAAAGGTATGACATTTTCAGTGTTAGTTCCACTTAAAACCCAACTCCCCCAAAAAAATTTTGGCCGTCTTACTATAAAATTCTTGTATGACACATGCTATATGAAAAAAGAAATCCGATCATACAGAAATACAGAATATCACTATCAAATTTCAATGTATAATAATTATATTTCACCTTAATGGTACATTGGTTTACTCAACCATGAAAAAATCTACCATTGATATAGCCGAGTAATATAAGATTCAAAACATTGTTGAAAATTGTTTTATCTCTTTTACTTGTTCCTACAGTATTTTTTGTATCCGATTTTATATATTTGAGCCGCGCCATGACAAAACCAACATAGTGCGTTTGCGACAAGCATGGATCCAGTCCAGCCTGCGCATCTGTCAGTCTGATCAGGATCCATGCTGTTCGCTATCAGTTTCTCTACTTGTAATAGAGTTGGTAAGCGAACAACATGGATCCTGATCAGACTGTGCGGATGCGCAGGCTGGTCTTGATCCATGCTGGTCGCAAACCCATTATGTTGGTTTTGTCATGACACGGCTCATTTATAGTTAAATTCCAGTATTAAGAGATTTGATACTAGTTCTGCTGTGTGCCATTGTGCTATTCTGGATGGCCCTAATAGAAGACAATGATGGCCTTAAAGGCCACTGTGAGGCCTGAAAGGACATGATGGGGTATATTGGTGAGCAGCCATCAAATATTAACATCTTTTAAATACCGTAAGTCCAGTTTTATGCCAATAATCTTGGTCGTCACACTTCTAAGAAACATACAATCGCTGGCCCATTCAATATTGTGAACATCAGTATTATTCAAAATCATGTTAACTTAAATTCAAGCAAGAAACTGTTGTTCATTTCATTTCGTCAACAGCTTTACAAGCAAAGTCATTGAATTACATATACTAACCCCCACCCACTGTTTTATACAAATGACTTGATCACTTGAACAAAGCTTCTTAGTATCACGTACATATAAGTATTTGAAAATAAAAATTAATTACATGTATATTATAAATACCACAGACTTGAGCAAAAGAATAATTCTTTTAAGATATAATGACACTTAGATACTCAATTAAGTATGTAACTATATAGAAATTAATTCACATATAAGTAGTGAAAGTATGCCACTTTATGCTTAAAATTATCAAATTCATCGAACCAGCATTTAATATTAACTTAACCTTCTTAAAATTATCAAATTCATCAATTCATATTAACAGTAGACCAGCATTTAATAATAACTTAACCTTTTATCTATAATCAAAATATAAAAAAAAATTTATGTAAAAAACAAATATGTTTATAAAGTAACAAAGTAGGTCAATAGTTTGCGGAGGGTAATGAATTATTGCTTTGGGGTTTTGAACTGTTATGTTATACACATTTCTCAGTCTTCTTGTATAATATTGACATGCTACATTAGCCTTGTAACCTTTGCCCTGCTGCTGGCAACAATTATCTACTCTTGTGACCAATGCAGACCATGTGACAAATGTGCAGCAGACCATGTGGCTAATGCAGACCATGTGACTAATGTGCAACAGACCATGTGGCCAATGCAGACTATGTGACCAATGCAGACCATGTGACCAATGCATACCATGTGACCAATGCAGACCATGCGACCAGTGCAGACCATGTGACCAATGCAGACCATGTGTCCAGTGGCACTGAGCAGACCATGACTTGCACTATTCGCTTCAGTACACATTTTGATATTTTCCCTTCAAATGATGAATTGACTGCACACTGTTCACTATTCTGTCATTCATTACTCATTATGAAATTTTTCCTCAAAAGTATTAATGGTTTTGTCCAGATTAATACATGGACAAGTCCATTTCAGGTATTTAGGGTGGTTAATCCCTACATGCTCTCTGCAGCTGATCAGTTAAAACTCATATAACATAACACCCCTCTAAACCACTTCCACTTACCCCTAAAAACCAAAATGATTTTGCCCAGATTAAAACATGGACAAGTTCATTTCAGAAATTCAGGGTGGTGAAGGTTAATCTCTATAGCTCTCTGAAGCTGATCAGTTAAAACTCATATAACACCCCTCTAAACCACTTCCGCATCAGTCATTAGTTAAGGAAACAGGAAAGGAAACACTGAACACTGCTTATCACTTAACATGACTGCCTACTGACAACTTGGCAACCGAACAATCTATGGTGTATGTCGGATTTTGATGAAAGATAAATGTTTGCTTACAGCCAAAACTTCAAACTTACTAAATGAATGGGGAAAATCTTTATCTCTCTTAAAGTAAAGCCCTCACTCTGATCAAGAGAGGAATATTTATATCAAGTATACTTCAATAAAATTTGTCATCCAAATGTGACAGACAGACAGGGTTCCTATCCTTATATATTACATTAAACCTGTACTACACTAAATATCTTAAAGGCCCATTTTGCCTCATAAATGATTTTAATTTTATTTCTTAAAAGCTTTTATTTTTGGTGTCCTGTTCTAGTTTCCAGACATTTACTTACTCATTGGCCATGAACCTGAATCATCTTTTGCATCTGTTGCTTTTGTTAATCAACATAGTTAAAGTAATTTGGTAGTTCGTGCGGAAGTCAAAATCTTACTATGTTTACATTTTGCTACTTTTATGACAAATAATATCAGATTTAGTGTTACTTTCTTCAGCTTATAAGTACATGTATCTAACATGGCTATAAAACAATTATTTAAACATTTTAAAACTCATGCTTGCCCTTTCTAAAGATGAAAAAAATACTCATTTTCTGAGGCATAATGTGCCTTTAAATGAACTTGTTCATATTTCAATCTGTACAAAACTATAATTTATCATTTAAAAATATGTACTGACTGAATGACAATCAGTGTAGACAATGATAAGGTGGCTAATCTTGGTCTGCACTGGTTGCATGGGTAGATTTGGTTGCCCATGGCATATAGAGAGTGAAAAGTATACCATTTTTATAGTTTTATTTTTATTATAATACCATAGTTTTTATGGTAATTTACAAAAACAGATTCAATCAGTATCTCTGTTTATTATTGAAGTGTAAATGGCAAATATACATGTAGAGTGGAAAAAAAAGTAAAAAATAATTTCACATTTTCAACTTAATCTTATGCTTTAGAAAAAAGATGAAAAGTTACTTTGCTTGTCTTAAATTAATAGTTTAAGGGAAATGTAAGCAAACAACACCTGTACGTATGTGTAGCGCAATCACATACTTAAGTAATATTTTTATTGCAAGTAATATTTTTACTGCGATATAAACACATAAATACTATATAAACACACAAATACCGTATCAACTAACAATATTTTTTGGTTTATATTTAACAGTAGTCTATACCGGTATGCACAATTAATTTTATCTACTTTACGGGTGTTTAAAGCTATATTTAATAAAATATTTTCATAAAATTTATAAACAGTAAATAACGTTGTGTCTATAATTTTATGGTCGATTTCGGAACAAAATATTATGATGCTTTTTTAAGAAGGTTAAGGTTAAAAATTCAGCAGTAATTTCATGCAAGCAGATTTCTCTCTTAAGGGAATATACAAACATATTTTATTCTTACAAGTATTTTGGAAGAGTGTTCTTTTTCAAAATTTCAAAATTCAAATAATAGTTAGACTGCAGATTTAACTTTATAAACTTTAAAATATTGGAATTAAGACTGTGTCAGAATGTCAAATTAGCAAAACCTTTCTCAACTATTCAGCATACTTTCCATGAAAAGATTATTCATCAATTCATGAATAACAGGCAATATAGAAAATATACTTTTTTAATGAAAATAAACTCTTTTTGACCATGAAAATATTTTTTTTTTTTAAAATGTGAAAATCTTTCCCATCATGAATTTAAAGCATTTTACAGTAATTTGAACTTGAAATGATATCCCCTGCTGTATGAGGAAAATGAGAATAAACTTGGTATTTTATAATGATACAAAACCATAATATTGAACAAATGCTGTCTGTAGGACAGTGCCCTTGATGATTCTCCATGTAGTAATTAATACAAGTGCCTGTATAGTATATTACATAAATTTTAAAGTTCCAAAAAGGCCATAATAATTCTGTCAAAATCCATGCAAGAGTTATGAACCTTGGAGAGTCTCTCAAACCAGTGTGTGAAATTTCAACCAATTCCCTTCTGCAGTATTGGCGATACCATTTTGCACTCAAAAACTTAATAACCGCAAAGTGACGCCAATGTTTGGGTTAGTACAATAGCTCTCCCTTAAATCTTCTAATAGTCGAGCCAAAATTGTCAAACTTTTTAGCTCATATAGTAAATGATTATCTTTTGAGATATGATAATAATAATTGAAATATTTCTATGAAGTTGTATCATAGTGGTCATTTGTCTACAGTGTGTAACAAAGAATTACAATTATTGGATTCAAGTGAAGCGAAGCATTAAACTGACTGAATTAATCCAGTTTAGACCAGGAAGGAATATCTTTCAATATAAACTAATGTTACTATTCATTTGGCAGTGGTAATTTGTAAGATGTATGAAAATTATACGACTAAAATTATCTAACATCATAATATATTACTAAATACATTTAAATGTATTACAGATTTGTAATGCAAAATATCATGTATTGATTAAAATTTTGTATCATTTTGTATGATTATTAATTTTTCTTCATACAAGTCAAAATAAAATTATGTTCTGTTTATTTTTTTGTTGTTGTTGTTGAGGGGGGAATGTTATGTCACACCACGCACATTAAAAATATCAGAAAACCTAAAAACCATGAATTTAGTATTATTTCAATTACTTTAATATAGAAAAATAAAGCTTTCAGAAGTAGAAAAATCTGAACTTCAGGCATATGCCTGAAACTTGTAACTTTGCATATTACAGGCACCAGTAGGCGCCAACATTCCGTAAGCTTAGGCTGGATAGTCTCTCACATGAGAGTCTGAAGCCGCTGGCGTGAGTACCAGACCATTTTTTACCACAGGGGCATGATCTATGTAACTTCTGTACTAAGGCCGTGGGATTATTCCTTTCAAGTTTGGTGTAAATACACCATGTGGTTTTGGAGGAAATATTACAAAAAGACTAACAATGGACTACACATACACATAATTGCCATCGGAAAGCTCACCTCAGAAATAAAAGTCAGCTTGTACAGGACAGGACTAAAATGACCAGGTGTTATAATTCCTAAATACTACCGATATAAAATATCATAATACAACCAGGGTTGCTGGTTTGTAAAGTGAAGTCAAATATCACGATGCTTACCTCTCTACTTCCTTGCGACCACCAACGTTTGTCACTGCTGCTATGTACCTCATTATGATTTTAGACGCTTCTGTTTTACCTGAACCACTCTCACCTAAAAAATATTTTAAAAAATACTTAATCATTGAAAATTACCTTTGCCAGTGTTTCATCAAAACCTACATTTGTAACAATTTAAAATGTTCATGGTAACTTTCCCTGTTTATAGCAGAATTCAAACCAACAGAGATTTTTTTTAATTGGAATTAATCAGAATAATCATAATATTTTCACACTTATGTAAGTAAGTAACAACTTTATTTAATGAGGCTAACACATTCGGTTTCCTGATCTTCAATGCGGACCTCAATATGCATGTATCGGATGATGTAAATATATATATAAAGTCACACCTTGACCATGACCTCAAAATAAAAAGGGGTTTCCTACATGCCATGGACAATGTTTAATAAACTTAGGCCTAGAACCTTTCAATTTACTGAAACAACAAGGCTGACTTTACACAAAGTGTCACTGTGACCTTGACCAAATGACTCACTTAAAATCTTCAAACGGGGCTTGGAAAAAGCACCAAGCTGGGGAAGATTCCTGATAAAAGGAGTTTTTCTGTACATTTATGGAGTGTACAATTAAATCTACTGGTACAGTGAATAAAGCAAAAAAGGAATTATAAATACTGACCAGAAATAACAATGCAAGTATCTCTTGCTTTTCTCTTCATGGTTTTGTAAGCACTGTCAGCGAGAGCAAATATGTGGGGAGGTCTCTCGTATAACTCCCTCCCTCGATACTCCTCCACATAGCTCGGGTTGTATATGTCCATCGTTTTGTACGGGTTGACGGACACAACCACCTCACCAATATATGTATATATTCTGTTTTTCTCATACCTGGAAATTATTGCAACTCAAATCAAAACCAGCAGATTCAAATTACTCAGTTTTACAATTTGAAACAAGAGGGCCTATCATGGCCTTAATTTCACTTCAAGATGAAAAAAAACTCAATTTACTCTCACTGTGTTAGCTACGTTCAAAGTTTCTTGGAACATAGCTTAGAAAGTTGTTTTTTCCAATGCCAGGTCATTCATTACACACAATAAAACTTGAAAAGTGCAAAAGTAGGTCACTATGTCATTTTAACATTCACTAATGGTCAACATTTATCCCTCCAAAAATAGTTCAATACTCACTCAGCATGCCTTTAAGCAACAAGAACAATTTCATTTTGTATATTATTAAAATTGTATGAGATACCTATACTTCAAAAGCACAAAATATTGCCCGCCCACAAAAAAAATCAAAAAGGCTATTTATATACATATGGTATATTGACATAAATTTTCTTTTTTATTGCCTCCCTTTATATATTTTTAATTGAAAAATTCCCTATAAAACTTTATGCATAAAAAATGATTTCTTAAGATATAGTCACTTTCAACCTTAGGATAATCATATAATTTGAATAAACTTAATAATACAGATGACAAGGCAATGCTGTAACACAGTGTCACACCAGATTTCAAAGCACTGGGCCTCAATCAGGCCTTTTTTCCTCTATTTTGGGAAAACGCGACATAGCAAATTTGGGAAATTTATGTCGTGAAAGTTTCCAATTTGGGAAGAAAGTTTATCGTGAAATTTGCCAATTTGGGAAAATATGCTAGCATTCAAGGTGTTACATTTGTTACAATAAATCTAGATAAATCTTACTTAAATTGTTCAGCTTTTTCTGTCAAATCAAAAATACAAGGACAGGCTAAAATGTGTACAAATGTAAACTGGTATTAACTAAAAATCCTGTTTTTATTAACAAAACATTAATACACACATTCAGTAACCCTATTTCCCTACACCAAAATTGAAAATTTGGTACTTTTTCTTTCAAAATGCTGACTTCTAGATTGGGAATATTTTTTTGGATTGGGAAAAAAACAACATAATTTGGACATAAATTGGACCCTTGGGATGCTAGGGGAGAAAAAGCCTGTCAATGGTTCCATTTATAACAGAAGAATTATTTCACAAGTTTGCTGGTCTACTAGGGATGGGCCTTGTTTCACCAAAATTTTATATTGATTTACATAAGTTTTGTAATATTACATCAATACATGCCAAATATCTCAGCTGAAGTACTGCAGCTTGCAAACCAATAAACGACAGTCACTTTGAATACTTGAATTTAACAATGCATGAACACAATTTTCAGAATTTACATTATCTTACTCTACCCTTAATTGATCTATTGGCCAATAAATGAAAAATTATCTGGACCTGTGCATCATGCAAAATATCATTCAGGTGCCATTTTTCAATAAATTACAATGAGTCAATTATCAAACAATCATAAATTCTATGTCATGTCATGAGCACTGGGACTTGACAGAGATAAGTGTAAAAAGTAGGCCTAATTCTTATTTCCAGAAATAAATACATGTAATACTGTATATGTAATATATATACAGTTTACTATAAGTCACTATATATTATATACTGATATATACAGTATATTTTTTTTTCAAGAATTATATATCATGTATACAGTATAATTTTTTTTTTAGAATTACTTTTATCACTATCCCAACACTGTGTCGAGTCCCTGTGGTCATGACTTGAGAAGTATTTATAAAGGATAATTACAAAAAAAGAAAAAGAAAATTGTGAAAAATTGTTTTCAATTATATAATTATCTATTTAATTCTCACTGTAAAGACTTAAGTCATTTTTTTATTAATTCATATGTTTATGGATTATTAAACAAAGCATAATGAACTTTTGATCTTTTTTATTCAAACAATATACATGATATACTCAATGATAAACTCGTTGGAACAGTGCCAAAACTATATCTATTATTAGCAACAATACTTCTATTTATAGTAACAAAACACAAAAAAGTATCCCTAAATAACAGTACTTCAGTAGTTAGAATTTGATATTTTTTTTAAGCCTGATGAAGAGTATTGTATTACTCGAAAACTAGTAGCCAATAAAAAACTTTTTAAAAAATGACCTGGTGTTGTACGTGTGTTCCTCACCTACTTTATTCATTATTTTATACTTATTGAGGAACTAGTATCCCGTTGGGGATCCATCCGCACCAGGCATCCAGCCCTGTCAAACGACATCGGTGTGGGTAGGGAGACAGACGCACACCTTCTACCACGTATCCAGTCTTTGGATCCACCGAAACAAGCACCAGCTGAGCCCTTGGTGAGGGACACTGCTATCAAACTTCAACACAAAATGTCATTTTATCATAAACCCGCTTGATTTTGAATTGGAAAAAAGTGCTGTTACACCGTCTGATTCCCAAGCAACGCTCACTTCCGGTACTGACGAAATAAAATCCGAAGAAACGAAAAATAGCCGAGCCAGAACCCCCAGACGTATCGAGGAAACTAAAGTATCCAGGTTTAAAGTTTTAAAGAAACTTAATATTCATCAGAAATTAAGAGAGGCCCTTCATAATCGAAGAAAAGACGAACCTAAATCATGGATCATTCTCCGACTTATGATTTTTATACTTAAGGAAACATGTTTTCAGTTCAATGGAAAATTTTATGACCAGATATCAGGAACAACAATGCAAACAAAATGCGCCCCTAGTTACGCAATAATATTCATGGCACATCTTGACTCGAGATTTCTACGAACACAAGTATTAAAACAGAGATATATAGATGACATATTTATGATTTGGCCGCACAGCAGACAGGAATTGTATTCCTTCATGGCCTGTTTAAACCTTAATTTCATGAGTCAATTAAGTTTACTTATGATATTCAATCCCAAGGAAGCTAATTTCTTAGACACTCAAATTAGTAAGGACAACACAGGTATTCTTCAAAACTATAAATTTTAAGGAACCCTCCTCACCGTCTAGTACAGAAACGGTTTTGCCAAGATGAGCATGGTATGTTTAGTGAAACAAACGAACTCATTATAAACATTGGACAGATTAATGGATTATTAAACAAAGCATAATGAACTTTTGATCTTTTTTATTCAAACAATATACATGATATACTCAATGATAAACTCGTTGGAACAGTGCAAAACTATATTAGCTATTATTAGCAACAATACTTCTATTTATAGTAACAAAACAACAAAAAAGTATCCCTAAATAACAGTACCTTCAGTAGTTAGAATTTGATATTTTTTTAAGCCTGATGAAGAGTATTGTATTACTCGAAACTAGTAGCCAATAAAAACTTTTTAAAAATGACCTGGTGTTGTACGTGTGTTCCTCACCTACTTTATTCATTAATTCATATGTTTGTTTTGGTTTGTACTTCTTTCATACATTTCAGCATTTCTGACCCACCCTTTTGTACAAGTAGACTGCAAGATGTACACACAAAAAAATGAAATAAAACTAAATCATAAGACTGTAAGTTTGTGAGTCAAAGAAAATGTAGTAACGATAGGTATTACAAGCACCTGTCAAGTACTCACTTCAACAATATATGGAAATCGGATTATAATATATCGAGCGAATCCTACCTGTTGACTCACAAACAGGTAGTATACACAACTAGCTTGAGACAACCCCCAATCTTGGCAGTTCGTTAATTTATAAAGAAATAATATGTTAGCGCCAAAATAAAACTCACCGCAATTTTAAATTACCCAAAAAACCCGTCAAGTGTAAACATGGAGTGGCCCAAAGTCCCTCCCCCAAAAATTTCCAGGGCCTTCGGGGGAAACAGAACCCCCACACAAATAGATTTTTCTATCATTTTCAATTAAATGAATGAACCAAAAATTTGTTTATGTAAAAAATGTATATTAAAAATGCGCAAAAAAATTTTTTGGCGAAAGGGGGGGAAAGTAATTTTTTTAATAAATTTAATAGTTTTTGATTTTCGAGGGTTTTTTTTGGGCGGGTGAATATCAGAAACAAACAATATGATTATTTAATCTTCGATTGTTTTTTTATTCCATACTGTACAGTATCACATCGGATCATATCTCTAAAATAAGCTGTTTTAGCCAATAATAAATGGAAGGGGAAATTATACTTTAAATTTGTTTTAGCTATTAATGCATCTATTAACACATATTCATTTGAAAAACAAATCCATACTGTATTTAAAAAACGTCCTGTCACCATTGAATGACCCCTAATTATATTAATTAGTATTGTGCACAAAATCAGGTGTCAAGCGCCGTGTGGCAGCTATAAAAAAATGCTCCGTACTTCACTTCAGTGTTGTTATATTTTTCTGGTCCTTCAGTATAATTAATTCCAACACTTTGAAGGGTTTTTAATTGAGTACCGCTGAAGACGGTGCTAGGGGGCGTGAGGGATTTTGTACATTTTCATCATCCCCCAATGTACACACTCAATCAAACTGAGTTTGCAATTTTCACGTAATTTTGTTGTGATTATTGCTTCTGAGGGATCACTCTTTATTCACATTTTGTGAATATAAAAGAAAGATTAGAAAAAAATATTTTGATAGACCCTGATCGATGAATAAAGATAAATTACAATTAACAAACAATAACAAAAGTATGGCTGACCAATGAACTATACAACCTATGCATATTTTATCTTTGGTTACACTAAACAATTAACAAATGATTTTACATGAAAATAGATTATCTATGTCTCTGATTCTATCATCATTTCAAAGATGGTGCTTCTTTAAATTGCACGTGCCGTAAATTAATTATGTTCATTATTAAAATATTTGAAAGCACAACCATCCAAAGGTCTAAAAAAATGGTATCGTCCACCCAATAAGCAACGGGCAAACACATAAACGACAAAAAATAATCATTTGGAACATATACTTTTTATTCTAGCATGGAGTTATGGAACAATATTCCTTTAAAAGTAAGAAATTCTTAAGTTGTTGTCTGAAATTGTTTAAATCACAATTCAAATATTTATTATTATCAAAGGATGAATTAAAGACATGGTCAAGTGAAGGTCAAAGCTTTAATTTACGATCATAATTGAAATTTGAAAGTAAAAAAGAAAATATTGTTACAATAAACACACTTATGCACATGTAAGCAATCACATTAAAATGACTTGAAATGGGGCACTCAATTTCAAAGAACTATTTTCTAGACTACAACGGGCTGGGCCTTATTCCATACCGGGATGAGACCTAAATAAGTCCAAAGTTCAATTGAATCAAATATTTTTGTCCGTTTTCTAGTAATTGAATGAAATGCAAGTAATATTATAAAAGAAACCAAGTTTTCTAATTAACATTAATATAAATACAGAATCATTTTTAAAATGGAGACCTTTTTGCAGAATTTCAGGCTCGGTCAATAAAATTAAAAGTAAAAAGTGATGTTATGAAAAATTATATATATTTTGCATTAGGTAATGGAATTCTATGAAACAAAATTTTATGTTATATTTCTTAGATAAGGGCATTGGGCTTCTTATGGTGCAGATCGAGGGACGAATCGCCAGTTCAATAATCAATCGGTCATGCCATACGGAAATTTCATGGACATATTTCTTGGATTAGGGCTTTGGGCATCTTGTGGTACAATGAAGACTCTCAAAATTGATACGAAATCGAATCTGCAACAGAATCAGCGAAATATTTCTTGGATTAGGGATTTCGGCCTCTTATTGTGCAAATTAGACCTACAACATTGATACAAAATCGCATCAGAAACGGCATCAGACAAATAGCGTTTGAATTATTGCCTCGAGTAAATGGTGCTTTTTCCGATTATATACAGAAAGAAATATTCGCCAGTTCATAAAATATGATAACCAAGATCACAAGGAAAGGCGGCGTTCAATGAACGACCTTGCCACGCGGAAATCTTTCGGACATACTTCTTGAATAAAGGCTTTGAGTCTTTTATGGTTCAACGTTAACCCTCCAATTTGATACAAAATCGAATCCACCACGGAATCAGAGAAATGGTGTTTGAAATAGTGGCTCGACAAATTGATGTTTTTCTCGATAATGTGTAAAATTTTTATAGATAAAAATCAATTAGCGGGTCAAAAAAAAACAACACCATGCCACGCAGAAATCTTACGAACATATTTCTTGAATTTCGGCTTTGGTTATCTTATGGTGCAAAAAAAACAACAATACAAATTGATACAAAATCAAATCCGCAATGGGATCAGAGAAATGGTGTTTGAACTGTTGGCTCGATAAAATGTTGATTTTTTTTAGAAAATTTATATACAGAAAAAACGAATCGCCGGTTCAAAAAATGACTAGCCATGCGAAAAGTTTAAAGGTCATATGTCTTTGGGTTAGAGTCTTAGCCCCTTTTTGGTACAAATAGACACTCCCAAATTTATACAAAAATTTTAAATTTTCAAACCCGAATCAAAAGAATCAAAAAGAAATGGTGTTTGAACGGTTGGCTCGAGGGAAAATGGTGCTTTCATTTCCGAAAAAATTTATACAATTTATATACGAGAAAATTTAATCAAATTTGCAAGTTCATAAAAAAGACCAAAAGCCCTTTTTGGGAAATGCTCACTAAATATATTTCGAAAAATATAATTAACGTGGATTGTTAAATTGCGATAAGAACCCCCGAAAAAGGCCCACACCGTGGGTTTTATTTGAGCTTAAAACATCACCATTTTTTTTTCTTGGGTTATCAACAGTTTGATTGTTTTGCGATAAGGGATCCCTCTTAAACGGCCTGATCACTTTGGGCGTTGTTTTTAAAGCTTGATGCTAACATTTTTTTGGTTTTTTATTCTTTATAAAAAACCTCCTAAAATTTTCCTATATGGTTTTTTCCCGATAATCACCCTCTAAAAGGCCTATCAACGTTGGTTGTATGGTTTTGACTGTATTTATTGAGACTATGACAATGGGTTGTATTGCGAATAGAACCACCTAAATGGGATATCACCGTGGGTTGAGTGAGCTTTACTGTATTCCCTGAGGTTGTTACCCCGGGTTGTATTGCGAAAAGCATATCACCGTGGGTTTTGTGAGCTTCACTGTATTTCCTCATGCTATATCAAAGGGTTCTACTTGGGTTTTATTGCGATACAAACCCTCTAAATTACTTATCACATTGGCTGGTGTGAGCTTGATTGTATTCTGTGAGGCTATCATCTTGGTTTTCGTGAGCTTGACTGCATTCCGCGAGGCTATCATCGTCGGTTGTATTATGGAAGAACCCCCTTAAAGGCCTATCACCGTGGGTTGTGTGAGCTTGACTGTATTTCCTGAAGTTATAAAATACTGGTTGAAAACCGTTTAAAAAACCCCCCTTTTAAAAAGGCCTATCACCTTTAAGTTGGGTGAGTTTTTCCCTTATTCCGTGGGGCCCTATAAAATCGTGGGTTTTAAAATTTCCCAAAAAAACCCTTTAAAAAGGCCTATTTTTCGGGGGTTTGTGTAATTTTGATAGTGGCCTTTTACTGATTCTTTTTGGGTTTTCCCAGCGAAATTTTTTATTTTGAGGGGGACTCTTAAATTCCCTATCTTTTTGCGGGTTTTGTTTTAAATTTGACTGTTTTTCCCCCTGAGGCAAATCATTGGCATTTTTTATTGCAAAAAGAAAAACCGGGAAAAAAGCAGTAAAAACCTTAGGTTTTCTGAGCTTCTCTGTTTTTTTGGGGGGCTGTGACCGTGATTTAAACATTTACGTTTAAAAAACCCCCAAAAAGGGTCTATCAAAAGGGGTTTATTTTGTTTTAAACTCTTTTCCGGGGGAAGTTATCCCCGGGTGGATTGTATTGTGAAAAGGAGCCTCAAAAAGCTTTTTAAACCGTGGGCTGGGGTTGAGCTTAATTTTAAATTCCCCGACGCTTTTGATCGGTTTTTAAATTTGCGATGAAAAAACCCTGAAAAAAGGGGCCTATTTCTGGGGTTTGTGGGGAAATTGACTGAAATTTCCCTGAAAAACTACATGTATAAACCCCCGGATTGCATTGCTAAAAAGAAATTTTTCTATAAAAACGCTTAAAGGGGCTTAATCCCCATGGGTTTGTAAAGTTTTTAACTGTATTCACTTAAACTTATCAGCGGGATTGTATTTGCGATAAATGGCCTTTTCCCCAAAAGCTTTACTGTATTCTTTGGGGGGCCTTAAACCGGGAGTTTTTGTATTCCCAATAAGAACCCCCCAAAAGGCCAAACCCAAGGGTGGGCGGGTTTGTGTTTTCTGGCTGTTTTCCCTAAAAGGTTTAATAAATCGTGGGTTTAATTCCCGCCCAAAAACTCTTTAAAAATGCCTATCACCGTGTGTTGTGTAAAGTTTGACTGCATCTCTGATCCCATCCCGTGCCCTTCAAATTGCGATAAAAACCCCCTTTACTCAAAGGCTTCTCCCCGTGGGTTTTTTGGGAGTTTTAAATTTTATTTCCCGCGGCGTCAGCGGGGGTTGAAAATTGGGGAAAAACAGCCCTTTTTGTATTCCCTGAAAATAACCTTTATTTTTGGTTAAATAAAAACCCCCTTAAAGGACTATAAACCCGTGGGTTTTTTTGAAATTTTTTACTTTTTCCCTTGGGGTTTTATCCCCTAAAGGGATTTTTTTTGCGAAAAAGGACCCTCTTTTTGGGGCCAAATGAGCTTGGCGGGTTTTTGCTTTGAGGCTATCATCGGGGGTTTTTAAATTTTCCCGAAAAAAACCCCTTTCTAAAAGGCCTATCACCTTTGGTTTGGGGTTGAGTTTGACTGCATTTAAATGATTCTATACCGTGTTTTTAAATTGCGTTTAAAAATCCGTTAGAGGTTTTATCCCCGGTAGGTTTTTTTTGGCTTTACTGTTTTTCCCCCGGGGATTATCTGCGTTTTATTGAAAAATTTGCGAAAAAGGCCCCTCTAAAGGCCTATAAACGGGGGCCCTGTTGGTGTTTTGATTTAAATTTCCTGATGCTATCACCGTGGATTGTTTTGCGATAAGATCCCTTGAAATGGCTAATCAACGTGGGTTGTATTGAAAAATAAAAAACCCCCCTTTAAAGGTGGTTATTTTTTACTATTTTCCCCAAAGGGGTAACACCGTGGGTTGAATTGCAAATTAAAAAAGGGAAATCCAAAATCCCTACACCCCGTTTTGTTGTTGACCCTTAAACTGTATTCCTTGAGGTTATCGCTCTGGGTTGTATTGTAATAAGGACCCCCCTAAAAGGCCCATCACCGTTGGTTGTGTGCGTTTGATTGTATCTCTTGAGGCTACACCATGCGTTGTATTGCAAAAAGAATACCCTATTAGGCCTAACACAGTGGGTTGTGTGAGCTGGACTGTATTTCCTGAGCTATCTCCACTGGTTGTATAGCAATTAAAAACCCACTTTACGGTCTTTCACTGGTGTTTCTGTTTTGATGAGAACCCACTAAAAGGCCTATGACCTAGGGTTTATTTAGCTTGACTGTATTTCCTAGGGCTATGACCGTGTTGTTGTATTGCAATAAGGACTCCCTTTAAAGCCTATCACCATGGGTTGTGTGAGCTTGACTGTATTTCCTTAGGCTGTCAACGTGGTTTGTTTTGCGATAAGAACCCTCTGAAATCTTTATCACTGTGCTTTTTTTTGTGTTTGTTTGTATTCGCTGAGGCTATCACCTTTGTTTTGATTTTGATAAAAACCACCTAAAACCCTATATAACGTTGGGTTTTGTTAGCTTTATACTGTATTCCGTGTGACTATCACCGTCTGTTTTATTGCGATAAGAACCCTCTAAAATGTCTATCACCGTGGATTGTCTGAGCTTGACAGTATCCCCTGAGGAAATGACTGTGTGTTGTATTGCATTAATGACCCATCAACGCCTATCACCGTGGGTTGTGTAAGCTTGGCTGTATTTCCTGATGCTATCAAGACATGTTGTATTGCGATAAGAACCCCCTAAAAGGCCTATCACCGTGGATTTTGTGAGCTTTAACTCACAAATTTTTCCTTGGGTTATCAGCGTCGATTGTATTGCGATAAGGACCTTCTATCGCCGTACGTCAGTTTTACTGCGATCAGAACCATCCAAAAGGCCTATCACCGTGAGTTATGTGAGCTTGACTGTATTGCCTGTGGCTATGACCGTGGGTTGTATTGCGATAAGACGATAAGAACACCATAAAAGGCCTATCACTGTGGGTTTTGTGAGCTTTTCTGTATTACCTTAGGCTAAAAGCGTGGATTGTTATTGCGAATGAATGCCTCCTAAAAAAGGACTATCAGCGTTGGGTTGTGCGAGTCTTGGGACTTGTATTCCCTGGAGCTAATAACCTTGGGCTTTTTTTTCCCGATAGAATACCATCTAAAAGGCCTTTCATCGGTTTAGTGTGAGATTTAAACTGTATTGCTTGAAGTTTTATCTATAATATTGTTAAAGCCATTAAATTTACACTTTAAAAACTCCTGAACTGCTAGCGGGTGGAATTTACACAAGAAATGAGGTCCTGGAGAATAAACAACAAACACTTTTTAAAAGTCGTTATTTTAAACGCACATGAACAACATAGACTTAATAAATTGTGGCAAATCTTTAAAAAATGCAACAGGTTTGGGGTTTAAACTCCGTACCGGGTGAGTTTTCGTATTTTTAGGTACGGGTCTAAACGTTATTTAGACATTTCTAACGGGGAGAGGTATTCCGAATTAATCAAAAGGAACACCGCCATTATTTAACAAATTAAGACTTTTTAAAAAAAAACAAAAAAACTTATCTTTAAATGTAAGTTAGTATTGTGTTTTGAATTGATTGATATTTTTTAATTATTTCATCTTGTCATGAATAATTATGTTGCCAAAAGATGAGATCAAGTGAAATAAAAAATTGTTTTTTTGTTTGCCAAATCGAATGAGATCAAAGGGAAAGCTAATTTGAGTTTTTTTTTAAAATTTTGCCTTTCTTAGGCGGAACTTGTGTCTGGGGAAAACTGATAAAATTGTTGATGTTGGAAAGTAAACACCCGGCGTAAAGTTAGATTTTTGGGAAAACCAGACCCTTGTGGTTTGGACCTCAAAATTCCTTAAAAATTGAAATTAATTTTATATTTGTCTGATTGATTTACTGACAGTTCACCCCTCAGACACTTCACACTTAGCCATTTTTTGCAGGGTGAAGTGTCTTGGTCCTGTCTGATTTTGCATTAATTTAACCTTTTCCCTGATATAGACGTGTTTTGACGTCTTTTTGCCTCCCCCCCCCCCTTTTGAGACCTCAAACAGTGAAAACATGACCTATTTAGGTCCCAACCACTGTTTTTCGTTTGAGAAATGTTGTTAAAAATGACTTTTTTGGCACCGCCCCCTCAAAATGTTACATCAGGGGCCTGGGGTTCGCCAAGAAAATTTTGGACGATTTTGAAAAAGTTGATTTACTGACTTTTGTATTCAATATAATCATATTTAAGTACTAAAAAATTAAAGATGATAAATTAAAACATTATCTTGAATTGATAAATATTGAAATCATGTCAACAAAGATGTTCTAAATATAGTACACGACTCTACCTAAATCGGTTCCAGCGAATGACGTCATACGAGGTCTCGCATAGCTCCTAAATGTCATGGCCTACTGTAGTCCATAGGCAATTTTAATGACGGTATTAATTTTTTAATACTTTAAATGGTATAGAACAATATTAAAATCATTTAATGATTGTTTTATCGCAAGATGCACAAGAATTGATTGGGACAAGGGTATTTGCAAGTGAAAAATAAGGTTAAATCAACTTAGGCCAAAATAAAAATATGTCTGGTTCAGGGAACCCGACCGACCCTATTTTTTTAACGCCGACCCTAAACTTTTTTTTTGATTTTCGGTACGAACATTTTTGGGTACGAAAATTACAAGTGTGAAAATTTTGTTTTACGATGCCTGTTGAAATAGCCGATGAGTAACAATCTTAAAATAATCAAAAAATATTTAATCTTATATGATCAAAATCAACAACAAGTAGAATTGTGAATGTTTCTGCAGGAAACATACAAAATTTCAATTGTCACATGTTTTCGCGATGCCGCATTTTATAATTAAAAAAAATCGTAACCAAAAGGAAGATATGTTTTATTAAAATGTGTTATAACACTTAAAATATAGTTTAGGAATTAAATTTACTAAAGATATTGTTTACATTAGTTGAGATGGAGCCATTACCAGTATGTGTTTGTAACATACAATGAATATTTTCCTTTTTAAGGGGGGGGGGTGTAAGAAAACAGCATAATAATCTGATGATGTATGTTTTTGAAATAATATTTCAAGTCTTTTCAATCACTTTTATGGCACAGTGTTTTCCATTTGGGCACATTACCATTTTCCTGAATAAGCTTTTTCTCTGTTTAAACTCTGACTCCCCAACCCCTTTATAGTAACTCTGCTATACATCATATGCAAACAGGACGTTAAGGATTGTTCCTTTGAAAACATTATTTTTTTATCTTAATTAAACTATAGGCCTGGAAATTGGCGTTCCACTTCATGAAAATTGTCATTTATGATTATTATAACTATGAAATTTTAATATACTGGTTTAAAACACAGTACTTATTCTGGGGCCGATTTGGTAGAGGGCCGAAACGTCTGGCCGGGGCCGAAACGGCTTGGGTAATTTGGGGCCGATATGTCTTGGGGCCGAAATGTCTCGAAATCCATCATATTTGTCAACTGCATATAAGTGCAGCAAAGATGGCTTTACATATTCAATGTGATCTGGAACTCCTACTTTTTTGTGCTTGGGAGTCCCAAGACTCCTTCTTTGTGTGAACCCTGCAACTGTTGGCACCAGTTGCACATATATATCTATAGACTTGTGCCCCCTGAAGACCATTTGAATATGTTTAATATTAAAATTATATATAGCTGTGTTATTTTGGTCCCCGGAATAGTGCATATCAGATGCTCTAAGCTTATAATACAGCATTATTATTAACTTGTTACAGAGGTGACCCTTGATCTTTTAATTGTCAGACCTGTCAGATGCAGGTTAGCATAGTACAGCGGGTGATTCAAAGGGAAAGGGTACATAATAAGCAGAATAGAAAGCAAATTAGTATGAATACAGGTGCTACATGGTTAAATGACTACATACAAGAAATAAACAACACAATATCACATGCTGATAGTTTATTACAAAAATGGTGTTTGCATTGATTGATTACAATCTTTGTTTAAGTATATTAAACAAGCAACACATCTATATACTGATAAGACATTCTCCCAACCAAATAAAAAAAAAAAAATCCCTACCCTCCTAATTTTTTGGACCAATGTTTCCTGAACCAGACATATTTTTTTATTTGGCCTTATATAATTCTGGTTTGGTTTCATAATGGGTCATCAGATGAAAATCAAAAATATTAAAAAGCCACTTATAAAGTTTTGGAAGCCAGAACTAGCACACGATAAAAGTGTTCGCTAAAAAAATTGTACTACCAACAACATGCATAGACCTTTAATATATATGACGTTTCGGCCTTGGTGTTTTCACATGTCTTCTAGATGTTTCAGCCCTGGTCTTTTCAGACTTATAATTTTTATAACTTTCTTGTTATAGTAGTTGTAAATTTTTTTACTCCTTTATTACAGATTCAAGCTAAGAGTTCCACATGGATGTATTAAACCTATGTGGAAAAAGAAGCGGGCATTACTGATCGACATACAAGACAGGGAACTACAAAACTACAAATCAAAGGAAACACGTGAGATTATAAGAAATTTACTCACAGTGCTACATATGAAGTGTCCGGCAGGGGCGTTACGGAACTCACCAATATAACTGGCTGGTAACAGGAGATATCAAAGATGTCAGACTTGGATGTTTTGAAAGAGATTCCAGGATACAAAGCTATCCTGAAGTCTGTATTAAAATCTCAAATACACCTTCTGGTAATCACTGTTTTTATGATTTTTTTTTTCAGAATTTTGTTCTTTCTTATGATATAAAGTGTCAATCATTTTAAGTGACTTTAAGTTTAAAACTTCAGCTATATTTTAAAAATGGACACATTTAAATTTTTAAATTTTATATATTTCTTTTATTTGCCCTTTGCTTTTTTAAAAATTTATCAGGAAAAATCAAAATCTTTTTTAAACCCTTTATTGGTTTAAAAAGAAGGAAAATTGTGCAAAAAAAATGCAACTTTATATATTTAATTTTTTCCCTTTGTGCAAAATTGGTTTAACTTCTATTAAAATTTTTAAAATGGGACCCTAAAGTGATAAATTTTTACAAGGGGTTTACCCGATTGTTATCAGAAAACCCCCCCAAATGAAAGTTGTGAGGTGTTAAAAGGTATCGTCCGTTTGCAAAAAAAATTGTGGGTTTTTTAAGGGGGTTTTTTTCAATTGTTTGGTTTTTATTGTAGATGGAACAGCTTCGGGGCATCTGGGAAGAAACAATCATTTTTTAACAGCCAGGGGGT